CCCTTAATCCTAGACAGGGTAGTGATTACAGGGACGTAGTCTCAGACGGACTTCACAGGGGAACTTAAGACGTATTTTTACATACTTTACTTTCTCAGTCACTACGAAAATGCAGTATGAAAAGTCAAAAGTTCTCATCATTGATAATTTTGAAGGCCTTAGAACTTGAGGGTTTTAATAGAAAGAGACTATTGGAATGCGCATGCACATTTTGGAAGTGAATGAAATATACTTCGAGTAAATTTCGCAAAAGCAAAAACTTTCCGAAGGCTCTCTAAAAAAACTAATTATATACAATTCCATATTACCCGTTTTATCAGAAAATTATAACACCGGCGTCAATTGAAGGAGCAACAGATGCGTTAAATTTTCTTCAATTGATCATGTTCCAAAACTTCACTAAATGAGCATTTTTATTTGCGACGTAGCTTGGAAAAAAGTTACATCATAGTTAAACACAACGCTGAAATGTGCAATTAGATGATGATCATTGATGTTTCTTTATTTGCGATCAGAGATTATTGTTCCGACCATTTAGAAAAAGGGGAATTCCGGCGTTTCAGTTTTTTTTGTTTTACAGGCAAAATCAGAAACTCATCGGAAAAATCAGCGGAATGGGTTGAAAGATTTGAAATTGTCAAAAATTTAACACCAGTGACGAAAATGTTACAACCAGTGTCAAGAAAATCTGTTTGAAAGCTCAAGAGTTTTAGTTAAAATTCGAGCATGTAAAAGTAAAGCGAACGATATGGCCTTTAGATGCTCGAAAGTAGACTTAAAAGGTTCGATGAAAGTAGTGAGAAATTTAGTTTTACCAGGGGAAAACTAGCTTTGAAGGCAAACTTGTTTGTATATGTTTTTGGTTGGAAAAAAACGAGCGATCAAACTCATTACAGAATTCTAATCAGGTCAAATTTTCATTCAAGCCTTCATGACTTAGTTTTTTTCCAGTATAATTAGTTTTCAAAGTGTTTTTTTGCGCAGTTCATTTATAAGTTATTTTACTTTAAGCAAAAACATTTGTTCAATATAACTACTTTAGGTCCTGGTGCATATACAGAACAGTCCCATACAAAACAGTCCAATACAAAATAGTCCAAATTAGATCCTTTTGCCTCACAAGGCACAAGAACCAACGCTAATTTGTCGGAGTATTCTGTGGTCGGAGTTTTATGTGCTGTTTGCACAGTCACCGCCTATCCTTGTTAGTAGTTATCTTGTGTAATAACATAAGTTGTTCAACATCTTTCCAATAACTTTCTAGTGATTTTCCTGTTAGAACCTTTTATCGGCACCTGGCAACAGCGAGTTATGAGATTCAAATGCAAGAACAAACTCAAACTAGTATTAAAAGATTTTCAAAACCCGCGCTACCTTAACAATAGAAGCTTTTGATAAGAAGCTTTTCGCTATTGAACTCACTTTATTCACACTGAAATAAGTAATTACGAAAAAAGTGTCTTCAAAAAACAATAACTGCTTGTATTATAACTAATCGAATGTTACGACTGTCCTTCAAATAAGAAATGTTCCTAAAAATATCATTCCGATTACTTTTGCACTAAAATGTGAAACTTGCTTTGGAAAGAAGATAGAAGAACGTATTACACTTAGTGCGCAAGCTCGCGTTGCATATACAAAACAGTCCCTTACAAAACAGTCCAAAACCAATTGAATTTCTTGACCTTGATCTTTTGGCGCCAACAGAATTGATCTACGCTTTGAAAACTCAAACATGGGCAATTGAAGATCAAAGAACTAAAGTTGGAACAATAATTCGGATGAAAAACAAAGTACTCATGGTATAGTGGTTAAAGCGTTAGTCTCAAACTCTAGAGCAAATGATCAAATCTCTGGCGGCACAAAAATTTTTCCAATTTTCCGAAAAAAAAAAAATTCGGGTAAAAAAGATAACGGGTATATCTAAGGTACAGCAAAAGGTTCAAACTTAGAGGGTTGGGCGGAGGGAAAAGAAAAATCAACATTGTATGTATTCAATGTTTTGCCGGTTTTGAAAAATTAAGGAAAATAATTGAAAATGGAACAAATTTTATTGCTTGGGAATGCGGAATAAATGTGAAAATTGAAAAAAAAAACATCTGATTATAATTTAATATAATACCTACATCCTTTCAGAAACCCAATGATATCATTGGGTTGATATGATTTAATCATAGTGATTAAATTTTTGTCGAGTTTTTGGTATTTAGCTTTTTTGGGACTAACAATTTTTTGTCCTGCGCACAATTTTTCCAACAGTATTTCCGCATTTTTCTGCTCGCCCTGGAACTTCTCGATCAGTTTTGTAAATGATGGATGCGTTCTACTGACCAGTTTCACGAAATTGCTGTTCCAACCTTCTACAGCGTTGTTGGTGAAGGTCGTTTTTTACTCTTTGATGGCAACTATATCAAATCTCGGAAGGAGACAATAAAATGATTCATTATTGTCGGGTAGCAGAGAGTAAACAATAGGAATAAGGCATCCTTCAACAGAAGCGTGTATAGTATAAATCTGATAGAAAACATTGGGAGCAGTCGAAAACGTTCCATCACAACCAATCATCCGATAAAGATAGGATCCAGGTAACGTGGCCAACACAATAACCCGATTTTCATCTTGTGGACCAGAATCGTGAAGAAGGAACTGCTCTCCATCGTGGGTTTTCGGTAGAGCCAGTGTTAGTTCAAAGCCAGTCAGCGATGTTGGCTCTGCCATCTTTGGTCTTTTTTGGCGTCGAACTCTATTTACAGCTTGCTGATTAGTAGAATAACTAGGTAAGTGAACAGCTGTTCACATCATGTTGGGCTGCGAAAATAGTCTCCCGCGTGTTACATCAGATACTGCTGCTCGATCTTTAAGCGTTTTTTCTGAACTTACGTTTTTCGCTATCAGCTGGATCGGGGAAGTGGCAGTGATCTTTAACGATCTCAACGGATTCCTTTTTGTACGCACACGGCCATTGCAACTAATTAGTGCGCAGCGCCAGGAACGGGAGTTGTCTGCCAGTGTTCTGTGTTTAATATAAGATACCCTTCAAAAATCAGTAACTCAGAATTTTTGTTTGTAAGTATGATTTCCATCGATAGATAGTGAATTTCGTTTCTATTGAGTGTTGCCAAATGTTCGCAAATGAAACAGCTTGAACAACCTGTCTCTTTTTGCATGGATTAAAAAAGAGTCCATTTTCTTAAATTGCGTTAACTTTAATGTTTCGAATATTATTGCTTTTATTGGGTGGCCGCTGCTGTTATCTAGGTTATTCTAATGTCTCTACTATGCTAGCTATTGTTATCCAGATTAGTTGGAATCAAAATGTGTTTAATATGAGATAAATTTACTAATCAGCTTCTGGAACATATATCACTTCGATCAATGGGACTGTTTTTTGGATTATTTTTGGGACTGTTTTGTATGCGACTGTTTTTTTGTACTTTGCTATGTTTTTTCGGACTGTTTTGTATGTGACTGTTTTGTACAGACACGAAGCTCGCATATGTAATAAATAATTAAAAAACTTCACATAGTGATAGTTTTGATTGCATAAATGATTAGTTGTTCCTTTTTGAAGTAATCAGATGCATTTTGAAATGAGAACCTCTGCTCGACCATTTCCGCTCCCAAAAGATACCGCAGAAAATTAACATTTGTACAATTTACAATGACATTGATATCATACAGAAACTCAAGAATTTTTATATTACTACAGATCATTTTAAAGTTTTATGTCAACTGGTAGTTGGTCAATGTCCACTTTTGTGATTTCATTATTCTTCGTATTCACTGCTTCTGTTCCGCAAGAACTGACACATAAAAAACAAATTATCAAATCCAGCACATCTGGAAACATCAAATTTGCAGCAAATGAAAGGTCGATTTTGAAAGCCCATCATTGCTAAAAGGAGCTGTGCTCCTCTTTTACTTAGAGGTTGGAAACTGGAACTGGCTTGGTTAGAAGTGACCAGATTTGAGTTGTGTGGACTACTTACTCTTTGGAATGTCGACTTTGTTGGAGACTAGAATGTCTGCCTGGACTGTGTCTATGTTGAGGTAGAGACTGTCAGGGTCAGACATGAAGATGTGGTACAGTGTCTCCCCCATAGCCTCCTGCACCATGTCATTCACCAGTGGGAAAGTCCGCGCGATTATCTGAAACAACAAGAGTGTGGGAAACATAGGGCTACTTGTTTGCATGACCAGCTCTTTCATTTTCTGGGCTGGGCTGAATTGCTACCTCAACACCAAGCGACAAGCACGAAGCAAGTCGGGACCCTTTGATTTCATTTAGAAAATGAAGTTCAAGAATGAAGCAAAGCTACCGAACAACAACTCAAACAATTATAGCAAGATAATTCTAAAGACCTTTGGCAAAAACTAGTCTTCTACTGCTGAAACCTCAAAACTAGAAACAAGCACGAAGCAAGTCGGGACCCTTTGATTTCATTTAGAAAATGAAGTTCAAGACTGAAGCAAAGCTACCGAACAACAACTCAAACAATTATAGCAAGATAATTCTAAAGACCTTTGGCAAAAACTAGTCTTCTACTGCTGAAACCTCAAAACTTTGAGCCAAATAATTATTAAGCATAGCCAACTGACAGTTGGAAAAGAGTAACTAACGCAAGTAACAGAAAAAAAACGGACTCGTTTTATGAAAAAAGTTCAACTTTGAATTTCGAAAAAAATATGCCCTAAAGGCTCTTTGAATTTCAAGAACCATTTATGATTGGTGCTTTTTTGATAAATTAACCCAATTTGAGAAAACTGGATCAAAATGTCAACTTTTAAATCCACAGGGAAATTTGAACATTAAAATCGATTTTCGAAACTAGAAGTTGATCACATTTTTCGTTGTGACCTTTTACACCTTTGCTGTTCGATTGTGGAGTTTGCATTGCTTTTCACAAAGGAAATGAACTGAACTTACAAACAAATTAAAAGTCAAACCGCAAAAAAAAAATAAATTGAGCGTAAACAAAAGTCAGACTTTTCCGAAAAAAAACATAAAAGAATCATCAAGACCTATATGACAGTCTTTACTACAATCATTACTCTTAATAATCTAAATCAACATTCGCCAAACGTTTTTTCGCGCCAGTTCCACGTTCATGTTTCGTGAGTGCTCTTTACGTCACTTTCAGCAGATGAACTACATTGAACTCAAAAAGCGCATAGTTACCTAAGTGCATTCATAAATGCATCAATATGAAAAAGAAACAAAAAATCAGCAAGGCCTATTTAAGAGTATTCACTACGTTCATTACTCTTAAAAGTAGAAATAAGCCTCGAATAAGCAAAAACTCGGCTACGTGTACGATTCGAATCTGCGACCTACTCTAATCAAGAGATTTTGAGTCTCATGCACTATCCACTCAGCCACACAAGCTTAAAAATCGATAAACACTAGTCACGAATAAAGCAGCTACATATGCCAGTAACTTGCCAATGCAATTCAGCCAAACTGGCACCAAATGCAAATAGATTCAATTTTGCATGTAAAAATTTAGAATATAACAAAATGAAAACATCTACACTAACTTTTCATGTAAAAGCGCAAAGCATAAAGCTACATTATGTATAAATTATGCATTTCAAAAATTGCGAGATATATTGAGTTAGAAAAATTCTGAAATCGGGTTTTCATTATTGCTATGTTGCTGGAAACAAATAACTTTTTTCGGTCCATTTGATGAATAAAAATGCATCAGCTGCTGCGTTAACTTATTACTATCCGATTGTCAAATCACATGCTATCAAAAAGCTCTAAAGGTGCCCCATTACTATAGGGGGGGAGTACCGCGCCATAAAGATGCCGCACCAATTTTGCGAATTAGGTTGGAAAAAAGAAGGTTCGTACTAATACACTTGCTTTTGTTCGCAAGTGTAATAAGTTCATTAATATGTATGAATGCACATCTGTAATTTTTCATAGAATTAAAACTTTCTCCAAAAAAAGCAGAAAGACAGCACAACCTAAATGAAAGTCTTCACTACATTTAATGACACTTAATAACCTTACCTCTAATGTGATTGAAGCTTGACGTTGGCTATCTGCGTAGTCACTGTTGCCCATCGCTATCATCAAATTGTGAGTGACGCCAAGCTTCAACACGGAAACAATAAACTTTAACTTTAATTTGTTAATCGATTGTAATTATGCAAAACGGTTCCCTTAAAAGTGCACAGGAATTCGTTTTCATCTTTACGTATCATATATCATTTTTTATCATGTGAAATAGCTCTTTGTCTAGTGGATATAACGTTTAAAAAGCATGAAAAAGTAACTGTTACCTGTACAAACTTTTCTGCTACTTCAATCGAATTGTGAGACAGAATTCTGAAACGAACAAACTACTTGATGATCATAAAATTAGAAACACAATAGGCGAAGCTCTGCTTCGCAAACACTAGCGAGAACACGACAAAAAAACAGCTTATTTATTTTTTAAAAATGGTACCCGCTGGTTAAATGCTATCAAACAACCATTCTAGGGTTGCAATTCTATGCTGAAAATATGACCCTCCAAATCCTTGTAGTTTTCGAGATACTTTATTTATGAATGAAATTTTTTTATTTATTTATTTTTTCTCTTTCATATTATTTCTCATACTCTTAGTTCGTCAGATGGAATGAGAATTGGCCGAAATGACAGGACTAGATGTAATAACTATTCCTTAATGAGGGCTTAATTTTAGGGGAAAAATAAATTTTTCCCCGCAATCCTATATTTATTCGAATGTAAATTTATCTTTATTACTTAGTTGCAATCATAATTTGTTCAACGGGTAGATGTCAAGTAGGCACATACTGCGCCTTTTGTCTATCCCCTCCATTTTGTTGATTTATAATTTAAATAAATTGATGCTTGTATTATCACCTATATGGAGAAATAAATTTTTCTTCTTATAAAGTGCAATCAGAAAAAGTAGATACAAGCCTCGAATTAGTAAATTCGTCTAATTATCGGATTCGATCTGCGACCTAGAGATTCTGAGTCTCACGCACCACCACGGACGCTTAAAAGATGACAAATACTAGCCAGAAATAAAGCAGAGAACAGATGCTATGAAAGTTCCAATGCTACAGATCGTGATTATAGCAAGAGTGTCACCAAAGAAGTGAACAAATTTAATGAACAATTTTGTTTGCGAATTAGCTAGGACAAAAAGTTCGTACTAATGAACTAGGCTCTCAAGCTCGCTTATGTGAAAAGTTTTTATTTATCCAACTTGCGAGAACTGTGAATGTTACCCGATGGCCTTGGCTACTGCAGACTGCTGTACAAAAATAGGCAATGGCCCCGTTGTTTGCATAATGTTAGCTACTTCTTCTGTATCTAAACACAGCAAACCTTTTCAACTGACATTCACCATCCACTGTGCAGATTAGGAAACTCAATTATTTATTGCTATAACAGCATTTACCCACTAACTATGTAACCTTGGAACTTTGATGGGTTTCCACGCAAGCGTTTACATTTTGATGGGTTTAAACGCATAAGTCAAACGAATAGGTTATGACTTTGTTTACACAAGAGAAAACTGTCATTATTTTTAGCCTTGCCCAGAAGAATTTGAGTAGTATCGAGCGAAAAATTTAACCCATATTCAGAAGGAACAATGCACATCATCTAAATTTCCTATCGACTGTCAAAATTACTAGCATTTGAGGAAACAGATTGAGAATTGAATTTGAATCTCTTGTACATACCTTGGAAAATGACAGTTCTGTCAATTTTGACGTCTTTTTCAGGCACCAGTAGTTTGACCATTGAGTTTAGAAGCATGTACTGGATTTCATCATATGATACCAGATCCTTGATGAGCTCAATAGCTTAAAAAAGAAGCAAAGTGTGCTCTCCAAACAATCTAATAAAATGCAAAAATCAAGCAACTGAGAACTCTTGCCTTCAAACTGGACTTCTAGGTGAAGTGATCGTAGTAAATTAAGCAGCGGCTCCACAATACTGACATGACTTGTTTTCACAATAGGCTGAAATAAAATTAAATAGATGACAAACCCTTTGCTGAAACAACAAGTTCAACCTCTTCAATCTTCGTTCAATTATCTGTTTGTCATACTGGCCTGTATAAATTATTATCTTTATGATTCAACCACGAAAGAAAACAAAGCCAACTGAGTAATTAACGCTACAAAACAGAAAAAAAAACTGACTTTGTTGAAAAAACCTTACGTTTCGAATTTCAAAGAAAAAAACAGAAGCCCTTTAAGCTCTTTGAATTTCTAGAAAAATTTATGATTGGCTTTTTTTGATAACATTAACTCAACTTGAGAAAACTGGATCAATAGGAAAAGTTTTTATTCCGCTGGAAATCTAAAAATTATATTCCACTGGGAAACTGGAAATCGCTCACTTTTTTTTCCGCCGATTCCACGTTCGTATTGGAAGTGCTATTTACGTAACTTTCAGCAGATGAATTTCAATTGAACTCAAAAAGAGCATATACACCCAAGTCCATTCATAATTGCATTAATATGTATGAATGCACATCTGTAGTTGTTAGAGCATTTTAAGACATTTAAAAAAAATCGCCAAGACCTATATAAGAATCTTCACTACGTTCATCAATCTTAATTAACTTATATGCTCTACGTGAATATTAGCAGAATTTTTTTGCAATTTCACCAGCAACACGATTATTCTTAACTTTTCAGTTTTCAGCTCTTCCAAGAAAAAAGAACAATTTTTGGAAGCAATTTAAAAAAACATATTTACAACTATATTTGTCTCGTCATGTCACATCGAGAACTGCGTAATTTTTGTTGAAATTAGTATGATTACGTATCTGTCACACAAGCGCTACATCTGCGTAAGTGCTGTGTTTTCGGCTGGTTTACAGACCATCGCCATAGAAAAAATGCCTTACTGACCTGCATGAAACGTAGTGCTTGGAGTGCCACTTGTTGTGCTTTGGGGGAGGTGGATGGGAGGAGAGCTATGAGTCCCTTGTAGACCTGCATCTGGTATTTCGGGTTGCCCTGACCCAATTCCTGCAGCAGATGTCTCGCACACTCCTGTGTCTTCTCCGAGTTAGACCTCGCTAGACACTCACAAATTGCCTTGATGCCTACAAACCAACAATAAAAAAAGTCAATACGATAAAATCAAGTAGTATAATTTTAGCGAACATCTGAAAACTGCATCTAACTCATAACCAGGTGCCCAAAAGCGATTATTCGTTTAAAAAAATGAACAGTTCGTTTGACAGCCTTCCTCTTTTGAAAAAAAATTATCTAATTTTGAACATTTGCAAAGTAATTTGATAAATAAGGCTTTGACTGATGTGTATTGTATCTGCTTGGCATGTCAATTTATAGTTATTATTTATTTATTTACAGGCCAAATTTGAACAGAAAGCATTTCAACGTAGGCTAGGCGAGGCAAAATGTCGGATTGCGATCCTTGTGTAAAATCATATTAAACTGACCACCATATAAACTGGCCAGCATAGTGTTTCGCAATTGTAAAAAATGTTATTTTTCCTCTAGAAGAAATTTTACGATTTTGTTAACTATTGGCCCGCTTTGCAATAGGGGGTCAAATCGTTACAAGGTTCAGTTTTTTCTTTATAGGGGGCCAATTCGTTTCAAGACACCATATGTGAGGAAATTCAAAATTTAACTAAATCCAAAATTTTTTGTTATTTCTTTGTTATGTCTTCTTAGGTCATAACAAAATCCGATTTCTCTGCATCCTTAATCGGGAAATATTCAACAACTATATATATTGCCTTCAAGAACTTCTATTGCTTCAGATTTTGGTTAAGAGTTGAGAAAAGACCAAAACTAACCATGTATTTTCTATTTACTTGGCTTGTAATTCCAATGGAGAGATAGAAATCTCCATTAATCCCACTCATATTCTAGTTATTAGTGGCCATAACTGATTAAGGAAGAGTGCTGTCAATTAAGACGGACTGTCACAGAACATGGATTCAATTTGACGGCACATTAACCGGATGGACGCTTTCTTCAATTTCATTCTGCCATAATTGGACAAATACTTAATGGGTTTTTAAGACAATTTTGGGCAATTAATCTGCTACTAAGTAAAATACGATCCGATTGTCTAAACCAGTTCGCCATTTTGCTCAATCTAATTTTAGACAAAGGAGAAGACGAGCTTCTGTTGCTTGGGTTATTCACACATTTAGCCCCGGGGACCGTAACTTTAGCATAAAGATAAAAATAGCATAAAAATTTGAAACTACTGAAAATAAGTTCAAGTACCTAATCAAATGGAGTCGAGAATTTTGATTAGCCAATCAGATTTCTCGACATCAATGCTAATAAAACTCACCAAAACATTCCGACTATGTATCACATTACTTTATATCATAAAAGTTGGTTGTAAAAGCGCACAACAAAAATATATATTTATTTTTTTTAGCTTTTAATCAGTTTTTTTTTAAAAATAGTGAAAATGAACAACAAAAATATATATTTATTATTTTTTAGCTTTTAATCAGTTTTTTTTTCAAATAGTGAAAATGAATAAATAGTCATGCATCTGCCACTCCATGGTCATGCCAGAATATTCCTCCACTTCTTTCAGAACCACGATATCAAATGTTCTTCCAGAACTGCAAATTTAGTTACAAAAAGGACGCAATAACGCAGAAAGTTTATGCTATTTTATCTATATGCTATTTTTAAACTGTAACTTGATAAAGCGGCGAGCAGTTAAATCAAATTAAACAAATGGTAGATATTCAGTTGTATCAAAAAAAAAATTCAAATGTATAATCTCAAACATATTCAAATAAATCAAAAACAAAAATTCAGTTCCATTAGTACCAAAACAAAACCTAGCCAACAGACCGTTGGAAAAGAGTCAATGGACGAAAGAATCAAAAAATACAGACTTATTTTCTGAAAAAAACTTCAACTTTCGAATTTGAAGATAAACAAAGATGGCCTTAGGCTTTTTGAATTTCAATAAGAACAATTTCGTATGCACAATTTTTGAATGAACTCAATTTGCGAAAACTAGTTTATTAGGTACACTTTCAATTCTGCTGGGAAATTGAAAATTAAATTCCCCTTTCGAAAGTAAAAGTCGATCACGTTTTTCCTGACCTTTACACTTTTACTATTCGATTGTGGAGTTTGCCTTCCTTTTACACAGAGGCAAAGCTTCGCTTCGCAAACTCCAGCGATAACACGACAAGAAACAGCTCCATAAAGAAGTGCAACAAGAAAAATTAAAGCCTCGAATTAGTTTAAAAAAAAACATCGGCTACGACTCGAATTCGATTAGCGCCCTGGAGATTATAACTCTCGCACACTTACCACTCAGCCACAGACGCTTAATGAATCACAAACAATAGCCACAAAAAAAGCAAAAAACAGACGATATGAAATTTACACTTCTACAGAGCGTGATTATAGCAAAAGTGCCAAAGAAGTGAATCTTTTTATTTACGCGTTAGGTTAGGAAAAAAAGAAGGTTCGTAATTAAACACAACGGTGATCGCAGTGTAAACAAAAGAAATGAACTGAACTTTGAAAAGCAAGCAACAAGTTGGGGCGAATGAGGCCGTACTCGATTTGATTTTATGATGGTTGAACAAATGACAATTAGTTTGAGTATTGGCTGTCCAAATAGCTCCCAATCACTATTCGAGTTGAATAATTGTGATATTATTTTTCAATTTCAAACCAAGGACGTGATGTTAAATGTGAACACAAAGTGTAGTAGGCGGTATGGGTTCCGAACATTAAGCCGATGGGAGTTCAGTAACAACACCAAAATTGGAAACTTTGGACGAAATTAAAATTAATATTCGTAAATACTGAAAAAACATAAATTAAGGTTTTTAACATATTATGCATTAGCTAACTTTTTCCTCAATTTGACACATAGGCAGAGCTATGCAAAGCTGAGTGACGCATTAAACATATCATGGCAGCAAACCGAAATCATGGAACTTAGTTACCTGTAAGCTGCGCTATTACAAAAGTTGAATATGGTATTCTAAACTCGTTTTTTGAACAAAAAATTTCAGGAAGAGTGCAAAACTAAGAACATAGCCAACTCTGACAGTTGGAAAAGAGTTATGAACGCAATGAAACTGGAATAAAACGCAATTTCGGAGAACAAAATAGATGGCTTTACAGCTCTTTGAATTTGTAGAACAATTTATGATGAACACTTTTTGTTACAATTGACCCAATTTGAGAAAACTGGCTCAATAGGTGAAACTTTTATTTCGCTGGGAAATCTTATAATTAATTTCCATTTCCGAAATTAGAAGTCGATCACGTTTTTCGTGACCTTAACATTTTTGCTGTTCAGTAGTGGACTTTGCCTTCCTTTTAACAATGGAAATGAACTGAACTTAAAAAGAAATCACAAGTCGAACCGCCAAAAAAATCAAAAATGAGCATGAACAAATTTCAAGACTTTTTCCAGAAAAAAAAATCAGCAGGACCTATATAAGAGTCCTCTCTACGTTCATTTTGGTAACTCAAGGAGCGACACCACCAAGTTTTCAACTATTAAGTGGAATCAAATCAAGGAATATTAGACGGAGAACCTAAAACTGTGAATCCTAGAGAAGGACGGATAGCAATCGATAGGAACGACATGGCGAATTCGTCGACAACTCCTAGCAAACGAAAATCAGTTGCGGTAAAAGCTTTGATCAGATCAAAAGAAATTAGATGAAAGGGTTAAATTAAAGAACAAAGAAACAATTGTTGAATGAGAGGCCCTCAAGTTTCTTGAGACTATTATTGTTACTATAGTGTTTAAGGAGGTCAATTAATCTGGCTTGGTTTTTTTTCGTATTGTGCCATCTTGGCGGCACTTTTTCCGGCAATTATTCTGGCCAATTTGTTCTCCGACAGACGTTGTTCTTTTCTCAGCAATTGGATAAATTTGTGAATGGTGGGGTGAGAACACCCCATCCTCATCTGGAAGGCTCTATGCCATTCCTCCACCAAATTGTTAGTTTTCTGTCTAAAATTTTTTGCGTGTTCGAATTGGATCCAGAGTGAAATAAGGAATTGCTCAACCCCTCTGCGTCCTCGGTTGTTTTTCCTTTAATTAATACCACGTTTAACCCTGAAATTTCACAAATTTATAACAGGCAAAGAAAAATTTTTGACCCCCCAAAAATACCCCGTCTTCAAAAAAATGGCCTGTTTGAGGGGTTATACTTTTTTCTCCCTGGAAGACCAAGTTCTCCAGAGGTGCCGATTATTTCATATGCGACGGTGGCAACAGAAGCTTAACACGGTCTCTTCACACATCGCCAGCTGGATTTATCAGTTATTTTGTTGTGGCGGTTTAGATTGAAAGTTTCTTCATCGTGGACAAGTTGCTGTTTTACTCGCTCGCTCATGACAAAATTTAAAGACATATTGATAGCAGTAAGTGTAATGATTTGTAAGAAGAAATTGACACGAATGAATCGAAACAAAGGTGTTTTAGTTGCTACTAACGCTTAATTACTCTTATCTTTACTGTTAATTCATTTCAATTTGGTATTTAATTCAAAACTGGTGCTAAGCGGAGATTTTTGATTGCTGGTTGTATTTTAATCATCCCATAGCCACCGCAAAACGTTTTTCTCAATTCGCATTGTTTTTAATCCCCCTAATTAGCAATAAATGGTGTTGCTAATTGTCGCTTGCTCCGAATTGACGCGTGGTGCGAATTGTCGCCTTTTAAAAATGCTGCGAATAGTCGCTTGCAACCAGTCGTCGCTTGCGACGAATTGTCGCCTCACGGATTGGAACATATTATCGAGGGTTGCCACCCATCGATAGGAACCATCCTCGCGGATTAAAACACGAGCAAACACTTCCAACTTCAACCATTACAGGCAGACCAAACTTTCCATGGGAATGACCACAAAAAGTCTTCAAAAACATCTTTATACCATACCAAACCCGTTAAAAACATATTGGTGTACGTTTGTTTGAATATCTTATTAAATCATGGATCATATAATTCAAATCATGCAACAGTCTGTTTTTATAAGAGGCTAGATTTAGAAAACAATCAGGAGCGAAATATGCAACATAACAGGCGAAAAATGAAAAAAAAATTAGAGGTGAAAAATTTTGGACATGCCACTAAAATTAAGGCCACAAATAGCGGAGTGTGCCATTAAATTTAAGAGGCGCAAATTATGTGAGGGGCGAAACTTCGTAATTCCAGTTATTCAACTGATAGATGGACATGTCATCTACAGCATTTGAATAATTACGATCTCCCAGTAGACTGTCCGAACTCAAATAAATGTCAGGCTTTTTGGACAGTTCGCGTTTTCGAACCTGCGAGCAGCCAACACGTATCAGTCCGATGGCATTATCTGCTTATTTTGTTATTGGCTAATTTTAATTTTTATCTGGATTCATTTATTTTCTTTGAAATTATCAAAGCTTTCTTCTAATTTTTGAATACTCAACATTGATTGGCTTATATTCATTGACTAAGATTTTGTGATTGATTAGCCTTCTATGATTGATGAACACTGTTTTATGAGAGTTGGAGTGGAAAAAAGTAGACTCGTAATATAACACAACGCTCGCGTGTGTAATGACTGACCGTAGCTCTCGCAAATGATCTCCTTGTATTTGCGACCTGCCTTGACCACTTTGGTTACAATCAGGAGCGCCTGGTACTTGTCCTGCTCTGTGGCGTTCTTCAGGTTCAGTATCTCGAGAGAAGTAAGCACACCGCCCACTTCCAAGAACTCCAGCAGAAATCTATGCCTGAAATCAAAGATTAGGATAGCTTTTTAATTGGAATAAAGATTGAAATATTGTCTGATCTTATAGACAGGTGGAAAAATTCCACGCACGTAAGGAAACCGTAAAACAAACGATGAGCAAATTTAAAACCATCAAAATTCCAAATACCCCCACCCCAGCCCCGAAAACATAATAGACAAAGTGAACGATCGCCACCCCAAAATTCTAATTCGAGCTTCGCTAATTAGATTACAACATTTGTTACCACAAGAATAGGACATAATTTCAAATTGGCAAGTTCTTTTTTGGTAGAAATTGTTGAAAAAGTTGACATCAAAATCGTCGAACTGCAAAATTAATAATGATCCGATCAGAACTGAGACAAAACCACTGTATCGAAAACAGCCGGCGATTAACTTTTTTAAAAATGGTTCGAGCGATATACAATCAACGTGACTCTCGGACGGAAAAAATAGTCATTAGCACAGCGCCATATAAGGGATTCGATTAGAAAACAGGCGAAGAACTCCTTTTACCCAGCTGAAACACCCTGCCCGTTGCCACGGGTATTTAAAAATCACAAAAAGGAAAATCCGTTGCGGTGCAAGCAGCACAGTAATTCTGCACTTGACTACAAAAATAACACTTTTTTATCTTTTTTTTCTTCAAATTATCGTTCGTGAGACTAAAAACTAGCTTGGGACAAATTACCAATGGTGAAAGTTACAAAAAATGAACGAAAAAAGACTTCAGATTATCACGATGCCATACTCTTTGCTCTAATTTTGTCTTATTGCAAACACTTTAAGCTAAGAAACCTAAACAAATTGGAAAAGCAAATGCGTTTATCGGTCAAAAATGTGCTGTGATTCCAGAAACGAAAAATCTCACACAAAAATTTGCCCGCAAAACTAACAAAAACAACAGTCGGTATGAACCTCTGCATCCAAATAATTGATAATCCTTAACTGCAACGCAACTTGTGGTAAACTAAAGACTTGTCTAGGGTTTAAGGAGTTTTCTAGGATTTGAGAAACCAACACTAATATTTTTGAGGATGCAGTGCTATCATTTTGGTAATTCAATTTGGGGTGCTGTTTGAGGTCGTTTCAGAAATCAATAATTTCTACACAGAGGCGAAGCTTCGCTTCGCAAACACTTGCGAGAACACGACAAAAGGCAGCTCTATAAAGTACAATAATGAAAATTAGAAAGAAGCCTCTAATTAGTAAAAATTCGGCTACCTCTGAGATTCAGCCACGGACGGTTATAGGTACAAAACACTAGCCACAAATAAAGCAGAGAACAGATAATGCAATTTCCAATGCTACAGTGAAATTTCCAGTGAACGCTTTTTAATGAACACTTATTTGCAACTTAGGTTAGAAAAAAAGAAGGTTCGTAATAAACCATCAGGCTGATTGCAACTGTAAACAGGTCAATCAGTAAGTGCGAAGAATCATAGGTGAAAACAAGCAAACAAGCGATGATGTTGTCATTAAGAGCTGTTGGAAAATGCAATAAAAAAATTGAAGACTGACATTATCTTGCAACGACCAAACTTTTTTCATTTTGATCTTATGTCGTGAAACAAAGACATTTAGTCAGAGGAACCTTCCGGTGATAAGGTAAATGCCACAATACGTCAAACGTCAACTGATTCGGAGCGAATGAGTCACGAAAATCTGATTCAACAAAGGCTTTTCAACAATGAATGAGAACATCCGCGTTTCGACAAAATTGAGCTGCAGCTTTTATTATCCCATGCAAAACTTCATGAGCTCATAGCTAGAAGAAACTGCTGACTGCTGAGTCTGAGTCCGAGATAATGAAAGATTCATTTGGTCAGAAAATCAGAAAAACTAGCGTAAAACGCACCTCCTGTGCTTCCAATTCTTGACAACTCATGAAAAACCACATATATTTTGGAAACCAGATCAGCAGGCTTTTAGTGTGCTCTGACAGCACCCAATTACAGGGTTGGTAATTTCAAACTTTTTAACCTTTTTTCAATTCCAATTTTCCGTCAAATCCCGAAAACGTTAAATCTCGAACGCTACAAATATTCGAGTAGTCATATTTGGAGGCAAGATTCGCAACGACCGAGAGTACCCTGGCAGGACCCAACTACATGGTTGAGAATTTGAAATTTTGAAGAAAAAAAAATTCGTTGAAGTTTCCTGAAAACTTTTTCAAAAAATCACAAAAAACGTCATATCTCGAAAACTACAAGGATTTGACTAGTCATAATTGGAGGCAAGGTTCGCAACCCTGAGATTACTCTGACAGCCCCCAACTACAGTGTAGGGAAGTTCAAATTTTGAAGAAAAAAAATCATTAAAAATTCCTGAAAATTTTTTGAAAAAAAAAAAAAACACAAAAAAGTCATATCTCGAAAACTACAAGGATTTGAGCAGTCATAGATGAAGGCAAGGTTCGCAACCCCTGAGAGTACTCTAGTAGCCCCCAACTACATGGTTGAGAATGTGAAATTATGAAGAAAATAATTTCGTTCAAGTTTTCTGAAAATTTTAAGAAATCACAAAAAACGTCATATCTCGGAAACTACAAGGATTTGAGCCGTCACATTTGGAGACAAGATTCGAAATCCTCGAGAGTACCCTGACAGCACACAACTACAGGGTTAAGAATTCAACGTTTTGTAAATAATTGTGTAATTTCTGTTTTCTGAAAATTTTGGAAAAAAATAACAAAAATCGTCGCACTCGTACACTTAGAGGATTTGAGCATTCTTAATTGGAGGCCAAATTCGCAACCCCTTGGGGAATCATGACAGCGTCCCACTATTGGGCTGCTTATTTTAAACTCGGTTGAATAACCACTGAATTCAAACTGGCAAATCGAAAAAAATTCTTAACCATTGCAATATACGATATAGCTTAAACGTGGAAAATTCTTTCGTTAAACATGCAAAAATATTATGCTTAAACATGGCAGATAGCTGTCACTAGCATTTAAATATAGTATAGATATAGATAGATATAGATAGATAAATAGATAGATAGATAGATAGATAGATAGTTAGTTAGTTAGATAGATAGATAGATAGATAGATAGATTGATAGATATAGATAGATAACAACAATTCACTGATGTATTCTGATTACTTCTGGAAGATATTTTTTGAAAGAGCAATTACAACACTGAGTTCACAGGTAGATGAAAACTCGGCCGCGGCCAGGAAAATTTGACTTTATGAAATTAGCCACACTGCCTCACCCGGCATGTGGCTTTGTTAGAAAGTGAAAAAAAAACGACCAAGTGTAGAAAACCTTAAAATTCTTCTGCTCTGCTCGAGTGACCGACTGGCACTGCGCTTGTTATTTCTCAGAACGAATTTCTAGAACAATTTATGACAGGCATTTATTGATAAAATAAACCGTTTGAGAAAACAGGACCAATAGGTAAAATACTTATTTCGCTGGGAAATCTGATAATTGAATTCCGTTATCGACATTGGAAGAATCACGCTTATCGTGACCTTTACACTTTTTCTGTTCGATAGTGGAGTTTGCCTTCCTTTTAACAAAGGAAAGGAACTGAACTTAAAAATAAATCAAAAGTCGAACCGCGACAAAATAAATGAGCCTTAACTAATTTTAGAAATTTCCTGGAAAAAAAATCATCACGACCTATATAAGAGTCATTATATACCAATACGTTCATCGACTCTTATACAAAAAACTAAAAGAGTTGTTAAATTTAAGAATAAGTAAACGACTGTCAATTATTATGAAAATAGTTGACATCAGGTAGGTAATCTTTGGAAATTACGCCGAAAAAGATAAGCAGACGAACGAAGCACGACTATTCAATTTTCCCCAAAAAAAGTTATAATTAATACATAATTAAAACAACGTCTGGGCGGGATTCAAAATGCGGGCCTCAGGATATAAATGCTCTCGAATTACCTTACCTCTTGATTAAGTGAGATGCTGAAAATTGTTTTGGTTAAATGACAAAGCAAGACCGATGTCCTACAGATTTGTAAGAATATTTGTTTACGGAAAAAAGTCTCGCTAGAGACAAAAAATATATGTTTTTTCAAACAATAACTTATTTTCAGCCAGAAAATATACAGTAGTTCACTATAAATGTAACTTAACTTAATTGGAAAATCGCCATTGTAATGAGTCTAAAGACTTTGAACCGAAAATGAGCTTAAAGGCTTTGGAAACAATTTCAATGGTCATCAGTGACTCGAGTATACCACTTGCAATACAACACAAACAAAACAAAACATAAGAATTCGGGAAAAAAATGTTGAAAACGTAAGAAACCAAAACGCTCGTATTTTGAAAACAAGAAAGCTAGGCACCAAGTAAAACTTGGAAGTAGCTGTTTGATTTTTGTAGGATTTTTTTATGTATGCTGGATGAAATAGGTAAATTCAAAAATTGGACTTTGCACGAAACCTTAGTTGCTTGTCTACTAAAAAGAACTGAGAAGATAGTAAATTTTACAGAAATTAATCTCTTCTCAAAAACATAAAATTTTCCTTGCAAAAACGGAACCGCCGCTTTTGAAGGAACATTTCTCGCCACCAGTTCTTTTGATTGAACCCTTCATCTCAAATTTGAAAGGATAGTTTCTATGAAAATCAAAAAGTTTTAAACAACTTCACTTTTTTTTCTACAAGGAAAAGGTCACCATCATGGCCGCTTAAACATTACCAAAACCGGTTTTCGCGATTGGCAGGGTAGTTTTTGAGTCAAATCAATTCCAAAAAAGATCAAAAAATCAAAAATTTGTCTGTTCCGCGAATCATACATTTTTGTGAAAATTTAATTGGGCGTAGCCGCTTGAACAGAAGATATTCACACATCTGTTGTTTCGATTGAACGCAAAAACAAAATTTGGAAGTTTCGTTTTCAAGAGTCAAATAATTTCAAATTACGGTACAAAAACCAATTGTTGACTTTTCCGAGGGCCGTAACTTTTTGAAGAAAAAATTTGGGCGTGGCCGTTAAGCAGGTGAGCTTCCCATAACGCGTTCTATCCATTGAACCCACAATCTCAGATTTGGGAGAGTAGTTTATGAGAAACCAAAATAATCCTGAGATATGGGTCAAATATTCCCCCACAGACTTTTGTGAAGGCTGTAGACAGTTAAGTAAAGTACAAAGAGACGAGAGGGTTATGTAGGCACACAGGCGAGAAAGCGCTCTTTCCATTGAAACGCTTTTGTTGAATTTCATTAGAGTAGTTTTCTGCTGAACTAAACTTTTGTGAAAATGTGGGAAAAAAATCGAAAGCCTCTCAAAAAATTAAAAACAAAAAATCAAATCAAATACATTTTCATAAAACCGATTTTGTCGAACAAGAATTTTTCGCCGTCGAAAATAAAACATGGCCAACTGACCGTTGGAAAAGAGTAATGAACGCATGGACACTGAAAAAAACTGACTTTTTTGTTCAAACACCTTCAACTTTTGAATTTCGAAGAAAAAAATAGATCGCCTTGAAGCTGTTTGAATTTGTAAAACGATTTATGCTGGACATTTTTTGTTAAAATTAACCCAATATGAGAAAAATGGATGAATAGACAAAAATTTTATTTTCGCTGGGAAATCTGATAATTAATTTCATTTTCGAAAACAAAAGTCGATCACGTTTTCGTGACCTTTACAGTTTGCTGTTTGATGGTGGAGTTTGCCTTCCTTTTAACGATGGAAAAGCACTAAACTTAAAAAGAAATCACAGGTCAAACTGCGAAAAATCAAAATTGAATGTGAACAAAATTTTAAAACTTTTTCTTGAAAAAAAAAAAAAACAAAAAAAAATCACCAAGACCTATATAAGAGTACTCACTACATTCATTACTCTTATAAAAACTAAGTTGACTTAGCTGATGCAACATCAACAGAAACCATTTAATCGAAAAAAAACTTTAAAAAAAGTTATTCAAAATCAAATATGGTAAAATGACTCATTACAGAACTTTCAAATATAGTAAAACAAAATGCAATCAAATTAGAATCCATGTTTTACAAATAAAGATGACAAAAATTAGCACCAGATAATAAAAAATATTTGAAACTAGAAAAGAAAATCCAATCGGAGAGGAGATCTTGTGGACACAATTGTCTACGGAAAAAAAGTCTAGTACCCAATTGCAAAAAAACCTTTGCTTATCGCATGGGTAATTATACCAGTTTAACTATTTATTACACAGAGGCGAAGATGAGCTTAGCACCACTTGCGATACAAATATGAATGAATTTGAAAATCAAATGGGAAAAAAATAAAAAGTCGTTTTTGTCAATACAAATTGCAATAAAAGTCCAAAATATCTGGAACAAAATTGCCTGCATCAATAGAGACTCTACAACGAGCTTTGGGAATGAAAAGTTCTCACAAAAGTCTTTCTGCGGAACTAAGCAGACAAAAATAAGCTGCTGACAGAGAATAATCTAGGCTAGCCAAAATCTCTATTTGCAAGAACTGGAATCGAACTCCTGGACTTTGTCGTCAAGCATGGGGATTACAGCAACTTAGAATAAAGCTAAATCAATGGGCTACGTCAACTAAGCCGACAAATATAAACAGACGGACAATAGTCCGAAAAATCACAGAAGCTCTTATTTGCAAAAAAAAGGCCCTGCCAGATTCGAACCGCAAATCTTTGCCTTCTCAAGCATATTTTTTACTTCCACGCTAGATGCTCCGGATGTTTGATTGAATTTACAATTTCCAAGCGGTAACAAAGCCGAAAAACTTGAGCAGAAACCCTACATGCCGGAAAGAAATTTAAAAAAATTCTAAGCTTAAAGAAATTACCTCTCAGCGCACACACATGCGCACAAATTTTTTTTCGGACGTAACGACGCAAAAAGAGTCCACTAAGTCGATATTAATTGGACCGACGTTTATTAAGCCGATAAAAAGACGAACAAAAAAAAAGAAAAACACTAGAAACTTTAACAAATCGAGCTGGTAAATTTACAACCAATGTAAAATGCAAATTTCGATTCGGCAGGATTTTGAAACGCTGAAAAAAATTGCAGTGAAAATTGTTTACTGTTTAAATAAACGATTGTTAAATAAGGCAACTAAGCCGACAAAACAAGCAGACAAATAATTGGCCGAATTTTTTTTCAACCGGAACATTTACCGTTTGAAAAAAAACTGGTCCTGGTAAGTTTCGAACCCCGTTACCACCAGGCTAAGTGTGCAAGGGGCACTGCAAAAAATTTGAATTCATTATGAACCAAGGAAGGTACCACCAGGAGTCCAATTAGTCTGATGACAAAGTTATTTTCTGGAAAAAGTCTCGTACATGATTATAACACCCTTGCTATCGCAAGGGCAATAGGACAATGTCATGTATGTTTGACTTACCCGCTGGCCGCATTTAAGAATATGTTGACGGATTTCAACTGAATTGTCAAGTAAGCACCACTGATGTAGCTAAAACAACAAGTACTAAAATAACATTGCTCCAAACTTAGACTAATCATCAGCTCCGAGTTGTGGCTTATTATCTGTTGTAACATACACTTGCAACATTTCTATTTTTACATCTTGTAGACTTACCTTAGTCTCATCCAGGCAGTGATGCGAGCAAAGAAGAGACTTGCAGCCTGTGCGAACTCCAACTCCAGCTCCGGTCCCGTCTGGCTCTCGTTAGTGCTGACGAAGTCCTCCAGCATCCTAGCTCTGCTGGCCTTTGTCCCGTTGTCCCACTCCTGGAACATTGACAGCACCCGGTTAGTGGCAGTGCTACTCTTCCCACCACTGGACATGTCTCAAATCTGAAACAGCGAATATGATGCGTAAAATCGAAGCATAAATAATAATTCTGGTCCCTCCATATCGCAGAGGAGCTTCCAGTACGCCTTAACAGGCCTGTCTAACTATATTCAACCAAACTTGGTCAGTATGTAGTAGACCGAAATCGCTCAGATTATGGTAGAGCTGGAAGAAGACGTCGAGACCTCACACTATCATTGCCATGACAAGGTATCAAAAACTCGATCTGATGTTCTCAAAAGATCTCCTTACCACTATGCTAAGTGTCTCTTGCCTCAAATTAGTGCCAGAAAACTTGATTAAGACCGAAGAGTCGCGGTTACAGACGAAAAGAGCCGAATTGAGGATCGAATACGTGTATCAAAACAGCGATGAATATGTGATATCAACAGCTATCGTGGTTCATCATCTTTGATATCAATAGCAAAAAAATCAGCTTTGCCACATGGATGATTCAGTGCCAGTTACAGTACTAGAATTTTTCATCTACATTACTGAAACAGGTCTGATTTCCACAGCAGGACTAATCCAGGAAGGTTCTGGTGGTGAGAAATAAACACGGAATGGGGGTGAGTTTTTTTTACGCTTATTTACCTACCTCAAAAAATTCGTATGTGATAGGGTGGTTATCATATAAAAACCCTTGACGTCATTCGGATTCCAAAAAAAATGGGAAGTGATCATTACAGGGCAAGCTATTCTGTGAAAAGTATCCACCGACAAATGATTGTTCGTTCTTCATTGCTGGGTTTATTAAATTGGTATCATTTACCCACTTGAACTACGAGGTGATTTGAAACCTTGTTAAGTTTACTATGATGCATTTTCATTTGTATGTTGTTTCAGGTCGCTGTTCTAACAAAGAACCTGCAATTAACATTTGGCGCTTGAATTCTTTGATTGAAGCAAGAGATATAATCTACAAAATGGTCGCATCAAGCTCCTCAACTTTTTTTAATTGAAGCTGTCAAATGGCCGTTTTAGGTCTTTGATCAAAAAGTTACATCCTTAACCGAGAAACTCTGCAAGACGACGATGACAATATCACCAGTACTCTTCCGTCGAATCCAAATAAACTTTACAATTATTTGCATGCTGTCGAAAACAACTGGTCTGAGTCTGAATATGACCGTTTTTACGATTATTTTAACAGTTTGCCTGTCTGATTTTAACATTTTTTCACCGTAATTGGATTGTTTAAGCTAATTCTTGAATCTAAATTTCTAACCTGAATTCTCAACCAAGGTGATCACCTAAAATTAATGGATGAAACAACCAAAAAAGCTTTTTTAGATCTTTTTTGCAGTAATTACTGTTTCAGGAATATTCTGAAATTGAGTAGCCATCAAATAAATTTTCAATTATCACTATCAAATAGAGCAGAGAGAAGCGGAGCTTAACATCACTTCCGATACAAAAAGAGGAAAAAACGCAGTTATTATTTGATGAACTCAAACTACAATCAAAACAGCATTTTCCGTAAGACTGCGCAAACGTCCTGAGAAAATTACAAAAAAAACGAAGCTATTGCGCCCGAATCACTTGAAAGTTTATTTTGAAAAAAGCTAGATGTGCAATTTCCAGTGACACGAGGCTAGGCAACCCCTTACAAACGTAAGATAAACTGTTAGGCAGCTGATTCTACATGAACAAAAATTTCAACATGCAAGCAAAGCGGAGCTTTAAAACACCTGCGATGCAACACAAGCATAAGCATAGCATTACAAACAAAGCCGACAATAATTGGATAGACGCGCGTTGAGCCGAAAACAGGCGACTAAGGTAAGAACGGTGACTAAGCTGACTAAAATAAAACAAAAACCAAAACCATTTGAACAAAAATTTATCGTTTGAACACAGAGGCGACTCTGAGCGTCGCACCAGTTGTGATAAAAAAAATGAATGACTATGATTAAAATCAAATGAAAAGAAAACTCAAAAATTGAGAAAAAAACTTCCTAGAATCGTTTGTCAAAAAAAAATGCAAAAAAGCCCAAAATATCCAAAACAAAAACACCTGAAAGGAGGTGAGGAAATGCTATGAGGAAGCCAAACTTTCAGAAAATTCTTTTCTGCGGGAACTAAGCCGAGGAAAATAAGCAGATAAAAAACAATCTGAAATCGCCGAAAATTTTCATTTTGCAAAAAACATGTGCCGACCGGTATCGAACCCCCAGGCTTTGTCGTGTCAAGCATGCGGATAACATCAAAATAAAGGAAAGCTGATTCTTTGAAAACAGGGCTAGGCAAACTAAGCCGAAAAAAAACAATTGGACGCTGGTCCGAAAAAGCAAAAAAAACTAATTTGCAAAAACACAGGTCCCGGCCGGGCTAGAACGAAAACTTTTGCCGTCTCATGCAGGTGTCTTACCTCTATGCCAAATGATTGATTGAATTTATAAAAATACCTTCGTAGACGAAACAGGCAAGTCAAAATTGCCAAAACTGTACGGAAATTTTAAAAGTGGAACATTTTAGACAAGAAACAATGCGCTGTGCCACCACCTTGAATGGATTTAGAATGAAATTGCTCCAAAAATTATGACGCTAAGTTATTTTAAGTTAACATTTTCAAAACGAAAACCAAGCATTCAAAAAATAGAGAAAAAATATTGAAAAATTCAAATAAAAATGCTTTAAAATTGTATATTTTCGAACTGAAAGTTTTAGCATAAAAAGAACAAAAACAACATGACATATAGTTATGTTCTTCAAACTTAAATTGAACAAAAAGAATGGCTACTAAAAACACCCGGCAAATAGGCCGACAAATACTGGGATGAAATCAATTAAGCCAACAAAAAAAAAATTTTATCAGAAATTTTTTCAGCCGTGCAACCAGTAGCTCATTAATTCTAAACACAGAAATTCTAGACCAAGAACTAGAGCTGTCACAAGTGCAACTTGGGTGAAACTGGAGAACTTCTAAAATGAGAGATCCTCTGAACAAAGTTATCCACGGGAAAAAATCTAGTACCCGATTGCAATAACCAAGCTATCGCTTCATTTAAAAAAAAATACTCAAAAACCAAGTTGGTTAAATTATATATAACAAAACAACTGCCAACTAAAAATGTTTAAATTCAGAACAAAGTTCCATGCTTTGGAAAATTAGGCGACAAAAACGAGCAGACAAGCCAAAGTCAGACAATTCAATTAATCCCAGAAAAAAATCAATTATATACATGCTGAAAAATAAACAGCCGGGAGTCGAACCCCAAACCATAGAAAATAACAGCGCCCGCTTTATTCCGGCACCACGTGAAAGTATGGTTCCCGATTGCAAGTCACTCAAAGATCTTTCAGCTTTTTTTTTCTTTTAGGAAAGTCTCGCGTACACATGCACGGTTGTGTATGACACAGTCGAAACCTTTCGAAATCGACTTGAAATAAATGTTACCTCACACAGAACTTTTTTCTTTCAGCAAAACCTATGACGATCAGGTATAGCAGTCAAGCAAGCTGATGAAAGCTTCACTTGAAGAAGCGATTCAGCTATTTTTCAGGGCTAAGTATCTTATTGCATTCAAAGAAATAAACTTTTACTGCTATATGGTTTATCCAAATTACCCAGTTAGAGAAAGACAACCCAATAAAAAATGTGAAAAGTATTTATAATGACCTTTTTTGCTCTTTAAATTATCCAGTTCGGAACTATCTTCAATTTCAACAGAGCGAATGCAGAGATTCATGTCACTTGCCATAAAAAATGAACGACTATGATTAAGAACAGATGCACCGACAAAATCGTCAATTTTGTATAAAAAAAACATGTCGTTTCTCATTAAAAGTGCAAAAAATTCCGGAAAAATCTTGGAACTCAATTAACAGCACCATTAGATATATGGTAAATGAAATTTTAAATTTTAGAAAAAAAACTTAAACTTCAAAAGATTCCTATCTGCAGGAGCTAAGCCGACAAAATGAGCAGACAGACTATGATAAAATGTCTTGGTTAATGTTATATATAGCACGGGTTCGAAATTAAAGGAGTAATTAATTTTTAATTCAAGAAAAATGAGTGACGACTTTTTTTACAGTGAAGACTTTCTTTAAAGTGTATATGCAAAGTTGTTTTATGGAGAAAATTCTATTTCTCGATTACAAGACGCTTGCAGACGCAAATGGTTATTTAAAGCTCAAACAACTGCAGAATTAAAGCCTCTGCTAACTCATCAGTTGAATTTCTATTCGGTTACAATTTTTTCTGCTGCTACTGGTGAAAACCTTTAATTGCAAGAAGTTTATTGCAAGGGCGACTAAAAACTTCATTCACAGCAGCAAAATGCAGAACATGCTAAATTTCCACAACCGGTAGTTGCAAACATTGCTTACAAACAGATGGAAATATGTCAATAAACTAAAGAAAACCGGAAAAAAAATCGACAAATTTACGAACATTTGTCAACTTCAGAATTTCGGAGAAGTACATGATAAAAAGCTCTGATTTGTAAGTTAATGATTAAAACTTTGAGAAAAGTGGATCAATTAGTATTTTTATTCCGCTGGGAAATCTAAAAATTAAATCCTTACTTGGAAACTAGAAGTCATTTATGTTACTTTGTGTCGTTGACTTATTTTTGGAGGGGTTACTTGCCTTTCTTTAAGCAAATGGACTAAAATAGAACTAGAAGAAATTAAAACTCCAAATGCGAAAAATCAACTTCGGCGTAACTTAGCCCGGGGGCTATTCTCATGCGCGAAGGACCGAAAGGGCGAAAAAACTCGTGGTCGAAGGACAGAAAAGAAAATTAGCCGAAAGTCAATTTTTAAAAAGGAGCAATTGCTATTCAATTGAAATGAAATAAAAGAAGCAAAATTTTGCTTCTTTCATAACAAAACCCTTGAAATATATAATTTATTCCAATTCGGCGGCGGTCAGTGACAATTTGAAAATTTTGTATAATTCTGCCGTTTTTATATTCGGCCACTATCACTATTCAGTCCCTGGAAACGTTTACTTTCTTTCCAAATTTTAGATTACTGAAACTTGATTGGCTAATTTTTATTTTCCCGCATTCAGCCCTGTGCTTATAAGGTATTCCACCACTTAGCCCAAATTAAACCAGTGTATCGCTACTTGGCTTCTTAAGATGCAACTACACGGCTACGTAGTCATAAGTAGACAAGTCATTAAGTAGACACATCATAAAGCAGACTACTACTAAATTAACCAATCAGAATCGAGAATAAGAAGCAAATTTAGGAAATGAACAAGACTGCTTGGATATCAGGGCAAAGCCCTGAATGATCCGACTGCCTTTTAATCCAAATCGAATAGATATTTGGGAAAACAAAACATTGAAAATCTAAACTTTGGACAATGAGATCAAGCGTGAAAATTTGAGTCCTACGAAATTAGTACGACCGATTAACTAGCCTCAATTCAATTTGGAACGCATAAGTTGGTCCAGAGCATAGTCAAATTGGCAATTTTCAAACTCCCAGAACTTCACAAAAAATAATCGGAGGTAAAATATGTTTTACATTTGAACAAAGGAAATTGATATATTCAATAGGGTATAAACTTTTTTTAATTGAAAAAATTATTATTTTGATCGCCAAAAATTGACTGAATAAAAAACACACTAAGCTAAATATTCTGTTTTCTTCGAAAATCGGAACAATATTATTAATTATTCATTTCCTGAGTTTGCTTTGTTCTCAAATTTGATTGGTTAATGTACTATATGTCTACTTTGTGACCGGTAGGAAATAAAAGTTGTCTACTTTTTGACCGCACTTCCAGCTACGCTACGCTTTTGCAGGTTGGCGGTTTAACAAATCGGTTGCCAACTGGAATCCCTCATATGCGAAGGACCGAATGCGCGAAAAAAAATCTGCCAATCAAATTTCAGTAATCTGAAATTTGGAAAGAAAACGTGAAAATCTGAAAGAAAGTAACATTTCTAGGGACCTAATATTGATATTGGTCGAATATAAAAACGGCAGAAAAATGCAAAATTTTCAAATTGTCACTGACCGCCGCCGAATTGGAACAAATTTTGGATCTACTTAACAATCTCCACCCCTTTCAAGAAGGGGGAGGGAGATTGTTAAGTAGATCAAAATGGTCGATTTTTTGACCAATCAGAATGCAGCAAAACTAGAATTTTCAATAGAAAGCTCAGTGCTAATTTACTGCATTTATTAATAGGGGTGGAGATTCTTAAGTAGCTACCATTGGGGGGGGGGGGGATTGTTAAGTTGATCCCAAATTTTATATTTCAAGGGTTTCGTTATGAAAGACATCGCTTCATTTAATTCATTTTAATTGAATGGCAATCGATTATTTTTGAAAGTTGACTGTCGGCTAATTTTGTTTTTGGTCCTTCGCCCACAATTTTTTCGACCATTCGGTCCTTCGCGCATGAGAATAGCCGCTGTTGCCAACCATCCTGATTTCAACTACAGTTATTTAAATGAAAATAGCGGGTTGAGGTGCAAGTAGCGTGAAACCTTCCGACCTGTGATTATAGAAACACTTTTCACAAAAAAAAAGAATGAAGTTTTAAATATTGCGAACTGTTGAAAATATTTATCTTTAAATCCGGGTAATGTTTGGGGAGAGGATGGTTTCTCATGTTGAATTACGCTAAACATAGCGTCTACTCGCTCGACCTGATGTATCTCATGGTGCCCGTCAAATAAGTTGACAGCCGTCAAGACAGCACTTTTTGATGGGATTCTAATCCGACGCTAGACACAATTCTTCAGTTGTATTTATGAGAAATTGAAACTAGTTAAATTGAAACGAGTTCGTTTTAAATGTTTTAACGCTCAATTGTCGTCTCAACGTCATGTCGTCTTAATGTCATGTCGACTTATTTAGCTAGCACTGTATTGCATAGCGCCAATCATACATTGCATATCCCTGGTCGTCTTTAATCTAAATCGCCCAATTTTGCCCCTTGTACCCTTTCATCTTTGAAAAGACGCCATTAAGGCCAACATACTAATTTAAGGAAGCGAGACAAAAATATGATATTTTGGTTCAATTTCATCAAAAGGTCTTTGACGCTCGCATAAGCCAATTTTTATTGAAAAAAGTCTGAGGCGCAAAATAGTTACTAAATCCAAGATTTCGCCCGGCGTTGCTGAAAAAATTTCAACTAATTTAAATAGCAGACCCCTCAATCTTCACTCCTCAAAAAATCTTCACTCCTCAAAAATCTTCAACATACCTCTTCAATCAGCAAAAATTGGGAAAAAAATCAAATTAATTAATATGATTATTGTTTCATTTTGTTTAAAATTATAAAGTTAAAATTCAAATTTATATATAAGCGAAATTAAGAAATTAAATCAACTAAACATCAAATAAATTAGAATTAGCCTAAGGAGCAATTAATGAACAGATGTTTGCAAAACAATCGAATTGCACACCAAACGAAAATGATGTACAAACCAGACGAACGAAATAGGATAATGTTATAAAATACTGGCCAAGAGGGTATGGGGGCCTGGTATGAGGGTTAATCTGTGAGAAACTCAATTTTTATATTTACGTTAAAAATAAGAACGTATCTCACAGATGCGTACCATGGTAATACATGAAGCAATTCTCTGGTAGTTGGAATTTTCGTCTGGTTCTTTTCCAGTCCATTCATATATTGGCTGGCTTCAGCCCACTCAATAATTATTCTAACTCAACAACAATAATAATAAAACTTCAACTCAAATAAAAACAGAAATCGTGTCATCTATTTCAGAAGGGCGGATGTCAGCGAGAGACGCCCTTTCATCTTCTTCTGCTTTATCTTCTTCAAATCTGAAATACAAGCATTTAATTGGCTCTTCAAAATGCAAATCTCAAAGACTGTTGTCTAAAGATTGATGCCCATGTATGTATGAGAGCGATACATCGGTACAGCGCTGATTTAAATTATCCGGGCAAAAAGCATAAAACTTGAAATTTAAAACAAATTTAAAACAAAACGATTATCTCAAATTGGGTTGACTTTAGGTGAGGCTTTAGGAAAGCAGAATTTTTAAGTGCAACTCGTTTTGCGGAATTCGGATCCAACATTTTCGGATCCCCAAAAACGGATCATTTCAAGCTTTTTAGTCCATCAAAAAATTACGCTGAAACTACTCGGCTAATTAATGATAAAATTATATCAAAGTGAGCCTTTTACATAGATCAACAAAAGGATCTCTCCATTTGCCCTCCCAAAGCAGGTATTAATTCTAAAAATAAATTCAGCATAAAATATACATTACATACAAACGCGCAAAACAATCAATTTGAAATTTTTCATACAATTTAATATTTTGACAGGGTTCAAAATCATTTGAAGTGTCATTACATTTATGTTCCGATAATTAAATCTTGTTAGTACGGTGATATAATTTTCTCCTCAAAGATATCTTATGAAAATTCGTATTTTCTACCCTTAAATCGATTTGGGGCTATATTGTACGGTTGACTGACCCGAACTAAGTTTAAGAAGGACATAATCTCCAAAAAATTGAACAAAATTTATAAAAATTGTTTTAAACAAAATGGTGTTTAATATAACAAAAAAAAACTGTGCTTGGCTGTCAAGCAAAAAATCTGAAATTTTTCTTTAAGTTTTGGAGAATAAACCCATATTTAACTTTGTTGGGCTATGTGTTCATTTTTCAGCTAATGTCAACCCAATTTGAGAAAACCGGGGTTTAAACTTCAAGTTTCATGCATTTCAACCGGATAATTTAAACACAGAGGTGAAGCTGCGCCTCGCAAACACTAGCGAAAACACAAAAAAACAGCTTTGTAAACCAAAATAATAAGATAGAAATAAGCCTCGAATTAGAAAACGTTGCTACGTATAGGCTTCGCACCTCCAACCTCGAGAATCGGAGTCTCACGCCCTGCCCTCGCGACCACGAACGCTTAGCAACCGGCATACCTTAGTCACAAATAAAGCAGCTACATATGCTAACAAATTGCCAAGCAATGCAGCAAACGTGGCACCAAATACAAATAGAAACAATTTTGCATGTAATAGTTTGGAATATAACAAACTAAAGGCATCATACTAATTTTGCATGTACTAAATTGGAAAGCATACAGCCACATTATGTATAAATAGAGCATTTCAAAAAATTGCGAGATATATTGAGTTAGAAAGTTTCTGAATTCTGTTAATTTATTACTATTTGAATGTCAAAGCACATGCTATCAAAAAGCCGTGAAGGTATCCCAAAAGTGGCACCGATATTTGCGACTTAGATTAGAAAGAAAAGAATAGTCGTAGTATAACATTAAAGCTCACTAAAGTTGGCTAGTGTTATCTATCAGCACTGTACTTTTCTTCTGGCAAAAAGTCCGAATGACAGAAAAGTATCAACCAATCGACATTCTGTTAGACTCAACTAAACACAAATGACTGGTTTTCACTCTTTTTTTTCCAAATTGTCGAATACTTAAATTTGATCTGCTAGAGATTCTTCATTGCTCTTAAATTAAGTCAATAAGATAGCAATTGTTAATTCCAGCTTACCTGGCACAAAAAGAGTCACTTCGTCGAAGTTCATCGGCTCTCTGACTGTACTTAGAGCAAAAATGGACTGATCTGAAACAAAAGGTGAATTCAAATGTCTTGGAACTGAATTACACCATAAACACTGGTCTAGGGTATGAGTTGTGTTGTCATGATGTAGCCCAATCTCATCTCAATGTTCTGTAACCATATAAACTCTCAGCACTGAGCGAATCATACAAACCATAATGACAATTTCCCCACGACTCAAAAGGCTCTTAAGAACAACTCCCTGAGAAAAGTTAACTCTAACCGTCTCTCAGTTGCAAAAGCTCAGGAAGCATCGAGTTGAAAAAGCTGCGTGTTAAAGCTTCTCTTGCAGTTGGTCTTTTAGTAGTATCAAACGACAAAAAGCTGTTTATCAGCTCCAAGCCTTCCTCGTTTATTCTAAACAAAGATGAAAGCTTTAACAAAATAGTAGATACACTAAAAAAAAATAAACATCTTGCTATTATTTTTGTTGCTAAAATATACTCGCCTTGCAATAAAATGAGAAAATTTCTCTGCCCAAAAATTATGGAAGGCAGCAGCTTTCTAACACAGAAGCGAAGCTCACTTGTGATACAAAATTATAGAATGAAAGCAACATGAGGCTCAAAACAGAACAAACATAACTTCGAACAAAGTTACAATTGACACAGGAAGTGAAAATTTTTTTTAAATTCAAATTTACTAAAATTTTCCAAGTGAAAGTCCTAGCTGGGTTGACTATGGGCATTTAAAAATTGGTGAGACAGTCTTATAAAAATCAGAAGTTCTGCCAGACATTTAAAGGGAAAAAACGGAAAAATCATTTGCAGAAAATTAGTATCAAAATAATTATACGCACACTGGTTTGAGCTCTAGTTATAGCATATATCATTAGTAACTAGTACACACCCAGTAGTTAAGTTTGAATTTTTAAGAAATTGAGCATTTCAGCTGCATATCAGTATCATAAAAGATTCAGCTGATTTAGTTAAACTAGTTGTTAACCCGAAAAAAGTCTAAATTCCGATTTGATAACGCTTGTTAATCGCAAGCGTAATCAACTGGTTTAAAAATGATAACATAATTGAAAAATCTCAACTTTGAGTAATAACAATTTCTAAACTTCGCTACCTCTTGAAAGCATCCTGCAAAGGAGTTCGATTGAGACTCTTGATTCTGAACTTGGACTTCACTTTGCTCTCATCGAAGTCGGGCCATTCGTCAGACGAGGGCATTCCCAGTCGGCTGAAAATCTCCGAGAGCTGGTTGTCAACATTTTGCCCAGGGAACATCGGCTTGCCAGTCACCATCTCGTAGAAGATACAGCCCACTCCCCTGTCAAATAAATCTTTGTTCCGAGCACCGGCAATATGGAGAAATTTGGGATTCTAGCTTGTTTGCTTTTTGCGCACTTTGTGCCACAAAAAACCGCGAGGAGGTCCGAGTGATATATCGCAACGAAACCCTTTCAGTCGTGGTTCCAGCTCGATTTTTCTCAAACTTCGAAACTCTCAGAAAAAATAGATGTCCTTAAAAATGTTTGAATTTCTAGAAAAAATTATGACTAGCACTTTTTGATAAAATAAACCCAATATGAGAGAAGTGGATCAATAGGTTAATTTTTTATTCCGCAGGGAAATCTGATAATTAAATTTCACTTTCGAAACAAGAAGTCGGTCACGCTTTTAGAGACCATTACATTTTTGCAGTTCGATATTGGAGTTGACATGGCTTTTAACAAAGGAAATGAACTGAACTTAAAAAAAAATCCAAATAGAAAACCGCGAAAAAGTGAATTTCAGCCTGAATAAATTTGTACTTTTCTTGAAAAAAAAAACGAAAAAAAAAAACCATCGAGACCATAAAACTACGTTCATCGACTCTTAAAAATAAAAATAAAACAATGCCGAGAACAAATGGTCTAAACTTTTTCGCTTCTCTCCTCAGCAAGCTGTTATCTTCATCATTCAATTATTTTCTTCAATTGTTTTGATACCATTCAAGCTTTCATAATAGCTTTTCTCTGTCAATGGCCTAGCCACTAAAAAACTTGAACTAATTTCGCAAATGAAAACTATTATCGCAAGTGTAAAAAAGAAAGTAAAAAAGAATCAATTGAATATATTTTTTTTTCGCCCAATTATTCGAAATGGTAAGTGTTTGTAACCTACTGTTCTACTGTCACAGCAACCCCCTACTCTTGCTATTTATGAAAATTTTTTTATTGTTTTATTAACTATATTATAAAACAGAGTTGTTTTATAGAGTTGTTTTATAATCTTGAGTTGTTTTATAATCTATATACCTGCGAGAGAAACATCACAAATATAATTGAACCGCGAATTAACCAAAAATATCTCTAAAGTGAAAAAACTCTACCACATGTCCAAAGGGTAGTTGTACTGGTTGGATCCCAGGAGTACTTCTGCGGGTCTGTACCACAGAGTGACCACCTCATTGGAAAACAACTTCGAAGGGACACTGGTTGCTCTCGCCAGACCTGTGAGCACAAAAGTTTTCTATATCATCTTAACGAAAAAGTCGCCCTAGGTATATTTTGTTCCACCATTGTAACTTAGCAGAGCTTTAAGATTCCTTTTTGTAAACATGTCCAATAGATCAACATGTCCAATTATTTCAATTCTACTAGAACACGTGAGAAATTATCATGAGTTTTATTTGTCATACCAAAATCTGCAATTTTGAGCTCGCAGCGACTGTTGATGAGAAGATTTTGAGGTTTCAAGTCTCGGTGGAGGATATTTCGCTCGTGTATGTAGCCCAGTCCACGTAGAATTTGGGCCAGAAAGATCTACATACCAAAAAAAGATGAAATCACGATTGTTAATCAATTTAAAAAGTCGACCGTTAAACCATTCAATACCAATTTGAAAAGCGATAAACAAAAAAGCTAATTGGTATTGGATTTTATGACCTCATTCTGGTCTAGTGCACGCCAAAGAGATTAAGAAAGCTAGGAAATGGATGCAATTAGGGCTCTTTCCCATAATAGCCCTATAGTGGTAAAAAGTCAGTGTGTGGGTTTATTATGGTGAAAAGCCGCAATTAGAACCTGGAGATCCTCAACAGGAAGCAGGTCAGTTCTGTTGTCCAGAAATTTCTTTAAGTCGTTTTCCTAAAAATAACGTCCTTCTATAATTTCACATAAAGAGACAGATAAAATAACCATATTTTACGCAATTATGGGTCCCGCTACTGACTACTGAGAATGACTACATAAAAGCTAAGTCATATTACTTGGATATTTTCCAATTTGCCTAATTAATGGTCGGTTCGCAAAGTCTTAAATTTTAATTTGTCTCATTTGATCCCATATCACCAACATCCTTGCACAAAATCACCAAGCTTTGTCATTAAAACGTGTCATTAAAAAAATGCGCAATTCTTAGGCTAATTTGGATTCAAAGTTTTAACCTCTTGTGAACAAAAAACTCAATAGCGATTTTTACCAGGTATTCGAAGACTAGAGTGAGAGAGCTTTGGCCGTGAATGACGTCATGCAGGGTAACAATGTTGGCGTGTCTCAAGTTCTTCAGGATCGAAACTAAAACAGAGCCAAGTATTCACCCTTTAAAAACGCATTTCAAGTCTGTGTTACTGCATTATCAACAATCCAACGAAAGTATATACTAGTATGATCTCTGACAGTGACAAATCAACAAAAAACGAAGTAAATTTCATCGGTAACAAACTATTGTAACAAAACCCAGGAAGTTAACTTGTGCGCAGTCACATAGATCTAAAAGATGCGCGCTCAAACTAAGTTTGACAAGTCGTTGTTGAAACAAATCCAATTTGGAAAAAAAAAACGGATCATTGGATAAACTTTTATTTATTGGGAATTCTAAAACTTGGATCAGAATTTTGAAATATTTAAAACCGATTGCCACAGGTGCGGATCTAGAATTTTCTCGAGGGGGGGGGCGGGTTTTCAAAAAATTTCAAAAAAATTTGTCGACGTTTTTTTTAGGTCGACCAAATTGATTTTTCGAGCTCTCCCAAAGCACTGCTTTATTCCTATTTTGGCCAAAATTTGTGCGCAGGCGTTTTTTTAGGCACTTTTTGGAAAATTTTGAACGAAAAATTGCGTTTTTTCGGCGCGCGCTCCCCCCTCAAAATTAGTATAAATTGGCGCCGAAGGCACCTTTAGAAAAATTTTAAGGTTGGTCGGCCAAAACTGGACTTCTTAAAAGTACCAAAGGGGGGACCCTTTGGGTCGGCATGGGGTCGAATCCCTGAGTGGGGGGCGTCCGCCAACCCCCCCCCCCCCCCCTAAATCCGCCCCTGGATTGCCGTTTTTTGTTATTGGAGAAAAAATTGAAAAACGAATTTGAAAATTCACGTTCAGAGGAAATCAAAAGTTATAAATATGGTGCAGTAATAAGCAAAAAAATGGTGCAAAAAAATAAGCGTTTAACATACCTTCGGTGCTTCGAATTTTTGACAACTCATGAAAAACCATATATATATATATATATTGGAAACAACATCTGCAAACTTTTAGTGTACTCTGACTGCACCCAATTACACCCAATTTTTTTAATTCACAATTTTATGAGCCTCTGGAGAAATTTGGAGGCCAGATTTGCAACCACTAAGAGTCCCAGAGAGCACCCTGCTATAAGGTTAGGAATCCAAAATTTTGTGAACCTAAGTTTCCAGAAAAAAAAATGAAAAAAACGTCTTATCTCGGAAACTAAAAGGATTTGAGCATTCATATTAAGAGGCAAGATTTGAGACGCCTGGGTGTACGCTGACAATAAGGTTGTATCTTCATGAAGTTAGTAGTTTCAAATTTTTTGAATTTCTTTGTAGATAAGTTCTTTCAGAAGTTTTGAAAAAATCAAAAAACGTCACATCTCGGAAACTCAAAACATTTGAGCAGTCGCGTTTAGCAGTCGCATATGGCAAGATTTGCAACTCTTTTGGAGTACCCTGACAACACCGACCTATAGCGCTGGGAATTTCAAATTTTGAAAATTAATTAATTTAAACTTTCTGAAAATTTTTTAAAAATCACAAAAAACGTCACATCTCGAAAGCTACAAAGAATTGTGCAGTCACATTTGGAGGCAAGACTCGCAACCTCTGAAAGTACTCTGACAGCACCCAGCTCCGGTGCTTCGAGTTTTTAAATTTAAAAAAAACCGCAGTTATTGGAAATAAGATCTGCATCCTTTGACAGCACCCTATTACAGGAATGGTAACTTTAGATTTAATTTTTTTTACTAAAAGCAAATGGGCAGTCGCATCGGAATTTCAAGGCTGGGAATTTCAGATTTTGTGAAAAAAAAAATTATAATTTTTCCGAATTTTTTTTGAAAAAATCACAAAAAATGTCATATCTCGAAAACTACAAGGATTTGAACAGTCATATTTGGAGTCAAGATTTGTAACTCCTTAGAGTACTCTGACAGCACCTAACTAAAGGGTTGAGAACTTCAAGTTTTGTAAACTATTTTATTTAAACTTTCTGAAAATTTTTTAAAAATCACAAAAAACGTCACATCTCGAAAGCTACAAAGAATTGTGCAGTCACATTTGGAAGCAAGACTCGCAACCTCTGAAAGTACTCTGACAGCACCCAGCTCCGGTGCTTCGAGTTTTTAAATTAAAAAAAAACCGCAGTTATTGGAAATAAGATCTGCATCCTTTGACAGCACCCTATTACAGGAATGGTAACTTTAGATTTAATTTTTTTTACTAAAAGCAAATGGGCAGTCGCATCGGAATTTCAAGGCTGGGAATTTCAGATTTTGTGAAAAAAAACTATAATTTTTCCGAATTTTTTTTTGAAAAAATCACAAAAAATGTCATATCTTGAAAACTACAAGGATTTGAACAGTCATATTTGGAGTCAAGATTTGTAACTCCTTAGAGTACTCTGACAGCACCTAACTACAGGGTTGAGAACTTCAAGTTTTGTAAACTATTTTATTTGAAATTTCTGAAAATTTTTGAAACAATCTCAAAAACCGTCTTATCTCGAAATGATTCGGGCACTCAAAATTGGAGGCCAAATTCGCAACCCCTAATTCGATATTGGGCTGCCTAATTTAAACTCGGTAAAATCACCACTAAAATAAAATTGGAAAATCGAAAAATTCTTAACCATTGCGATATACGATCTAGCTTAAACATGCAAAAATAATACGTTGAAAAAGCTTAAACATGGCGAGATAGTGAAGCCCGCATTTAAATATATAATAAATCGAAAGCTTTGAATGAGAAACCTTGATTGATGATTTTTCCTTTGCTGAATTTTTATCTGCTGAGGTATTTCCAGAAGTTGGCCATTTCCCTCTGTTCAATTTGCTGAAAATTCGTCCAAAAACACAGTCGACGGCGCTTAATGAATACCGATAAATATTTATCGAGCGGCAACTGAGCCGACAAAAATTGGGTAAATTCCCGTCGAACCGAAATACTTGTTTCCCTTGAAACGACTGAAAACTCTGTCACCAGGCCAATAAAAGTAAGACGAAATCATCAGGGAAGAATAAAGTTTTTAAGCAAAAAAAAACAGAAAATATACGAAGTGAACGTTAGTAAGAATACAAACAACAAAAGCAAAACAAAACACTAAAAGCAACTACAGTGAACATTGCTACAATTTGGTAACATTTGGAAAAAACGGAAAATGAGCCGACCGAAATAAGCACGAAAGTCACAAATCCGAAAAACACTTTTTCAAAAAAATATTTGAAAAATTAAGTGCTACCTAAAATGATCTAAAAAGTGGTTTTATTTGAAATTGAGCGTGTTAGATTGCATAATGCAGGAAATACAAGCAGTTAGTGATATACAGGCAATGTAAAAAATACCCGTAAAAAGTCTATATGCCAACTTGATAATGATAACGCCTGCTAATCGCAAGCGTAAAAACAAAATTGGGACAGTTACTACGAAATGAAAGATATTATTAAGCGACTGGTAAAAATGAAGCATTTTCACTTAATTTAGTTTCAAACCGACTTTTTTCTCCATTTTTAGCTATTTTCATAAAATTCATTACAAAAAGGATGCTAATGCCTTTTTAATTGTAGTTTATTTCGCGTTTTTTGCATTTTTCTAGCTGTAAATAAAATTCGAAATATAAGCCCAGCATTTGTAAAATCAGTACAATTTTGAAACAGAAAGTTATGTTTTTTTATCATTTGGGGGAGGGGGGTTATAACCGAAAAGACTGCTTAATTGATCCTTAAAATCCCTCAAAGATTGGCCGAGGTTTTTGCACTGAAATGTCCTATGAAACGGACATTGAAATATTTGATTTGCAAATGGAAAAAATTAGTTTTGCTTGCGTAAGCAAGTACGCGATTAAATTCTGAGCTTCTTGTTAGCCGAACAGTTACTACTGTTGTGTCACATATATGACGCTCGACCACACAAATCAATTTGCGACACTTGAAAATGACGTAAGTAATAAAACATTTTTAACGTTGTTTCTAAAATGAACCTTTCAAGCAGATGATACAAATTCCTAGCAATACGTAAGTACGTAAGCTTGCCCTAATTTCCGGACTCTACCAAAAATTAAACCAAATTAAATTTTTTTTATTTCCCGAATCCGTCTACCCTTTCAGGCAATCACTGAACTACCGAATAAATTCAAAAATCATTAGCTTATACAAAGCGTTAAAAAATGCAACTAGTGGGCTGCATCATTTCCCTAAACGAAATGCATCGATTAGCAGTCAAACCAACACAAACTGCGCCTTTCCATGACGTCAATTGCTTTTATCGAATAGTTATGATTTTAATTACAAGGAACTTGCCCTGAAATTCTCCAATAAAAACAGCGGCGTCAGTAGTGGAGCTATTTACTATTTCAAACAAATAATTAAATTCTTACTTTAACAGTTTGCAAGCCAACCAAAATCACTTAAAACTTATCAAGTGGTTATCTGTTAAAGGCGTTATGTAGTAGTGTATCTCACTTTCTCTAATGGCAGTGCACGGGGTCCCTTCATCCTTTTCCATTCTGATGACCTTGAGAGCCACCATACATTGTGTGAGCCGCGACATTCCCTTGTACACAGTGGCATATGTACCCTGAACAAACATCGATTTAATTTAGTTTGCCGTTTAGCACAACTAACTTACTGGCAAAAAACACTGCTTTAACGACACCCCTTGTTGTAAATGTATTATCGAATTAAAAATTTTCCAACTTAACTAGAACTGAAAATTTGTACATACTAAAAAAACATTTACTTTTTGGTACTTATTTTTCTGGCTAAAATCATTACATATAAAACATACAAAAAAATAGTTTCAAATAGTTTTTCAATGATCCTGTCCGTCAGCAGACGCGCACAGACACCCAGATTATTTTCCATAAAGGACATTTCAATCTAAATTTTTCGACAAAAAATACAAATTTTACGAGAAATTTTCGACAAGTTTTACGAGAAAAAATATCTCTAACGTATAGTGGATCAGGCGGTAGCTATACAGCTCAGTAATAGTTGTTTGAGGATTGTCATGTACTTGGTTCGCTTATCGGGTAAATTTACAGGAATGGTTTGAAGATGCATTTGACTAACCTCTCCAAGCTTCTCCAGTCTACAGTAGGATTCCGCCTTTCCAAATCCAAGCTCCTGCTACACAAAATCAAAAGCACTTCTTTCTCTTCTTTGGCTCTTATGATGATCAACATATAAAATTTGGACAAAAAAACTTATGTTAGCAATACGCAACAATTTTGCGGTCAATAATTGATCGTATTTAATCCATCATAAAATCGAAATTTGTTCAAAAAATGCTTTTTTTTAGCACGGACTACCGTGATCGGAGCAATCTGCGTTTCTTGTTTTTTAATCCAATTTTTTTTTAAATAAACACTGCAATGTAGACACGAACTTATTTTAAAACCTCATACCAGGGAATTTCTCCGCACAGTATACGATAGTGGTTGCTCGACATCCAGGAGCTCTGGACTTTTTGAGGCCACTTTCTCCAGACTGGACTGAGAAATTCGCATAGAAAAGGGAAGGGACAGCCTTTTCTGTACATTCTGAAAAGCAACTCGGAATTACACACCATTGAAGCAAAAAGGGTTCATGAAGCCGCATTGAAAAAAAGCATAACTAAAATACAGGCTAATTTGGAAGCAGCTACTCGTCTTTCAATACATACTTGCAAGCAAAATCAGTCACCTTTTTTAAAATAACCAGCCACACTTATCATTAGCTGAAACTAATTTAAAATGCAGAAACCGTAAAAGAAATCTCATGCTTTAAAATGGTTATGATAAAAGCAAGTCTATTAACAACACTTGTGAAAACTAGGCTCAATGTTAATGTTTACCAAATGTTTAATCTCCATATCAACTATTTTTTTCTGACTAAATTTGTTTAATCTCCAAGTCATTTCAATTTTACTGACTAATTTCGATTAATCTCTAAGTGAACTCAATTTTTCCGACTAAGTTCGTTTCCACTCCAAGTCAACTCAATTTTTCCGCCTAAGTTCGTTTAATCTCCAACTCAACTCAATTTATCCGACTAAAATCGGGGAAAATCAGCAATAAGGGTCTCTATCTTTACCGAAACGAGTAGTTGGGTTAAATCTGAAACGTCCATAGGTAATATTTTTCGAGGGTCAAAAGATTACTTTAAAGATTTCACTTTCAGGCACGGCGGGCATGAAAAGATGTTTTTATTGATGAGACAAAATAAAAAGTGAAGCTACGACGTAAAACTAACCGTTTCAGTTCGAGAAACCTTGAAAAAACAAGGATTATACAACATAATAAGGAAAGTGGAATTAACTATAGCTAAAAAAAGTGACATTCCTCAAATTCTAAGCTCTCAATATCACGGGGATTCTTTAGACAGCAGAAGAGAACGATTCCTCGGGTTTGATAACTTGATACTGACAATTAAAGCACGCCCTTCTGGTTTCTATATCAGATTCTATTGATGAAGGGGAGAGCCAGGAAAATCAATCAACTTGATTACATTCTACTTCATCAATTTCATGGAAACCTGCTTTTTTTCCTTTCTAACGCTACAGTTGGCTGTCATCGAATACATCAAATCAGAAGGGTTGAAACAAAATACACTACAAAAAAGGCCATTTAAAAGTAAATTAAAGCTTTTTATAGCACTTTTTGACAAACCAACCTTTGTTGCTCCAACACATTCTTTTGCAACAAATGAAAATGTTTTTTTTTTTAAATTGAGTGCGAACAAAATCCAAAAATAAAAAATTTGTCCGGCCTATAAATATATGCTTCAAACACATTCTTTTGCAGCAAATGAAAATGTTTTTAAACAAAAACAAATTGAGTGCGAAAAAATCCAAAAATAAAAATTTGTCGCGCCTATAAATATATGAACTATTTGAAGGACAATATTCACTGCAGACGTAGTTGGAATTTGGCAAGAAAAACCTACAAAAATAAAAAAAAATCAATTTTAAAAACAGTGTAACTGGCCATTTTATGAAAAAAAGCCAATATACAGTTGGAAAACTGTCAATGAACAAGAAAACAGTTTTCAAGCTCAAAAAATACTAGCATCTAGCGCACCTGCGGTGCTGCGAATTTTGGAAAAATTTTTTATTCAAGTTATCCAATCCAAGCTTTGATGAACCATAAAAACGTCAGATCTTGGTAACTAAAAGGGCCTGAGCAGACAAATTTGAGGCAATATTCGCAACTATTGAGAGTAGCCTGAGAGCAGCCCACAATAGGATTGGGGAACTCAACATTTATTAAGTTTTTTTTTTTGAATTTTGAAACACATTGAAAAAAGTCATATCTTGAAAACTACGAGGATTTCAGCGGTCATACTTGGAGGAAAGACTTTTAACCCCTAAGACTACCCTGGAAGCACCCAGCTATAGGGTTGGGAATACAATTTTTTAGTGAAACTTTATAAATCTAAACTTTCTAGAAAAAAAAATAAAAAAAACGAAAACTTTCGTACCCCGTTAACTGAAATGATTTGAGTATTAATATTAAGGGGCAAAACTCGCTACTCCTTGAGACACCTGATAGCATACCTCTATCGGGTTACTGATTTCAAACTTGGTGAATTAATTACTGAAATCAAACTGAATAATCTAAAAAAAATTCTTAAGCATTGCAAAATGCGATACAGCTTAAACGTGAACAAATTTTCTTGTTAAACAGGCCAAAATATTATGTTGAAAACGCTTAAACATGTCGAGATATTGAAAGATATAATAGATTCGATATCGCGCTTAAACTGTTCAAAAATCTTCAATTTCGCGTTTTTTTTAATTAAACTAACCCAATTACAGAAAACTGTGTCAATAGGTAACTCTTTATTCCGCTGCGAATTCAGAAAACAAAAAGCAAATTTCAAAACTCTAATTCATTCACGTTTTTTTAACACCTCTCTCATTTTTGTAAATGAAGAGAGTAAAATTTCCTTTCTTTTAGGCAAACGAATTCGAATTAAAAAGACACCAAAGTACAAAGTTTGTTGGGTCAAAGAAAAATTAAATTGAAGCAAACGAACAGATTCAAAAAAAAGAAAAAATGGCCGCAAAACAAAAGGATTAATTCAAATTTAAACTTCGCACAGAGCTCTTCAGTCCAGGAAAAACATTAGCAATACATTAAATTTAAGGCCTGAAGAAACTTGACTTATTGAAGAAACTGTTGACAACTTGAAAAAAAAATGATAAAAAACATCACCTGGAAAACATATCAAAACTTCTAGAGCCACCGGAAATCACAGCCTTTCATAACACAAAGGGCCAAAGGCTAAATGAGACAGTCAGCTGACAATAATGACCGCTAAAAAGTTTACTCGAAAATTATTGCTGATCGCAAATGACTAAAATACTGCTCTCAGACAACGAATGAATGATATCAGGCTTATCATGAATAAAATTTCATAAATTTTGCTATCGAACAAAAGTTAAGGGTAATATATTCTTTGCCATGACAAAGGAAAAAAAATTGACATATTTAACAGAGCGACGCAGCTGAGCTTCGCACTACTATTATAAGAGCAATTTTAATATGAAAACAGCATGACGCTCAAAAAGTAACAAAGTTGATTTCGAGCAATGTTACCATTGAAAACTAAAAAAGCACGTTTACATTTATTAAATATTTTTAAAGAGGGTTCTGGTGCGGCGGAATTGATCGTTGAAAAAATAATAGCCAGTTTCGCGAATACTTATGACGCAGAAGTCAGACTGCGCTTCGAAAACAAGAGATAAAACGACAAAAGGAGCTGTGAAAATGAGCACATGCGAAGTTTCGCTCGCAAACACTAGCTTGGACACGACAAAAAAAACAGCTCTATAAGTGAATAAGAAAGTAGAAATAAGCCTCGAACTCGAATTAATAAAATTTCGGCTAGGTCTCGGATTCAATCTGCGTCCTAGTTATTATGACTCTCACGCACAAACCATTCAGCCACGGACGCTTAAAAATCACAAACACTAGCCACAAATAAAACAGAGAACAGATGCTATGAAATTTCCAATGCTACAATTCGTGATTACAGCTTAAGTGCCACCAAATAAATGGACACACTTAATGAACACTTTTATTTGCGAGTTAGGTTAGAAAAAAAAGAAGGTTCGTACTAATACACTACGCTGCTCGACAGTGTAAATAAGGAACAAATGGTAAAATTATCCTTGAACATAAAAATTTTGCTGTGGCGCATTCGAAGGGTCATCAATACTTGCCAATTACGTTGGAAAAAATACGCATACTATTACACTAACTCAATCGTGTAAAAAATATATGGTAAAGAAGCAACGAGACTTAAAGCAAACACCCAATAAACTAAAAATCAGTCAAAACTTTAGTTTAAAAAATCTCATTGCAGAATATTGCATGTACCGCCAACGTAGGATCCACGAGTGCTATTTATGTAGTGTATGCAAGGTGGTATACACAATTCGGAAAATAGAACGACAAAATTAGGTCGAAAACCAGAAGCCGAAAATCATCAGCAAAAAAATAAAATCGAAATTCAATAATTAAACATACAATGATTAAATTCTAGATATAACATTTAATAGTAGTTGCTTGAATTAGCCAGTAGTTAATTTGTTTTAGGATATTGAGCCTATCCGCAGCACATATGATTCAAGTGATTTTGTTTAAAAAGTTGTTAACCCAAAAAGAAGCATATAATCCGATTTGAAAATGCTTGCTAATTGCAAGCGTAATCATCCACTTGCGATACAAAATTTAGGCTAAGTGCAAGAATAACTACAACCTCAAAAAAAGTTCGATCAATGACATATCTGAGAGAAAGAAACAAGAAAACTGAACGAAGGAAAAAAGTAAGCTGAGACATTGACCCATTTTACAACTCTCTTTCCTTATCCTTAAACACTGTATGATTAATTTGGTCTGAGATATTCTCTAATACTGCACCAACAGAACATACTTTACACAGAGGCGAAGTTCAACTTCGCATACACAAGCAAAAAGATAACCGATAACGATACTGGGAAAGCTGAATGAGTAAAATTTTGAGTCTACCAAATTGTGACGCAAGTCAATTATGACGCATTAGCAATACCAGTCAATTTGAAAAAAGAAATTTACCAAATAACATGCCTCAATTTATCAAGCGAGCGCATTTTAGCTATTATACGAAAAAGTTCATTAAAATCGTCCGACCCTGCCAAGGTTCGAGCCCTCTTATTTTGTTGCTGGTCTCCTTCCCTACCTCTACGCTACATATCCATAATACCTTGAAGCTAAAGTGCTATTTGTAATATAATATTCTGTGTTAATATCCTTAGCATTGGCTGTACTTAATAGCTGGATTAAAAATGAACACTTTCAAAATGAACACATTTTGTCGCAACAATTGCATCGCAACAATATTGGCGATTTGTGTTAGAAAAAAAAGAGAGTTCATACTATAATTCAAGCTATGCTTGTGTAACAAGTTGTGAACGGTTATCATACATGAAAGTTGCCGATACAATTTGTTTGAGTTTTTTTTTAACACTTTGGCGACTGAACGAAAAGAAAACGACCTTAATGTATTCAAGCCAAAGGCGGAAAATTTGTTATTTTAAATTCTATTTGTAAACTTCTAGCGTTTATAATTTTTTAGAATTGAAAGAATAATTGTCTGCCTCATTATAGCCTGTTTAAAATCACTAGCAAGAGTGTATCCAATGATCAATCAGCTCGCAAAAATTAGTTGTTCTTCTGATCGGGCAATTCAGTTTAAATCACATCATACGATTTGAAAAATATAAATTTCATTGACCGAATTGACTAGCAAAAAAAAAACTGAGTTTTAGTTGGCAAACTAATCAAGCTTTGAAAATTTTTTAAGTTTTACACGACGAGAGTCGGTTTAAGCTATTCAACTGGACCCACTCAACCGATAAAACTTTACAAGTTTCAAATCCGTTCGCAAAAACTTCAAGTTTTTTCAAGCAGCATATTCAAAATATGCAACGTTTAATTAGGTCAAGAAGCAATCGGATGGTGCAATGTTAAAAATTCTCTATTGAAACCGTTGAGATGATGAAATTTTGAGAAGTTATAATAGTTTTATTGAAGCGATATGGTATCCAAAAAATAAAGTTTTCGTCAAGCAACTTTTCAAGTAAAAAAACCTATAAAGCTTACAGGTATTCCATAATTCAATAATCAGTCCGCTGAAAAACCTAGTGTTTCTGTAGCAAGATATGCAAGCTATGAAATTTCGAAACCAATCAAGTCATTTCAGACAAAAAAAAGTACTCGAAAAATTAGAGTTTTTATCAGCAAGCTATGAAGTTTTCCAAATGAATTTCTAACTTTCTAAATATTTCATTGGAAAATTGGATGCAAAAAACTCAACTTGTTCCTTGAAACCATTCAAATGAGGAAATCTTCAAATGAGGTTTTTCAGGCAATGAAACTCAAACATTTAAGGTTATTCATTGGAGCGAATTGGATAGTTTTTCAAACGCAAACTATTCAAGGTTCTGAACAATTTAGATTCTGAACATTTTTTTAACCGTTAAACTCAATGATCGCTCTTAACCATTTCACCTTGTGGTAGCTAAAACATGGCATTATTTTTCTGTCATTCGTTTAATATATAAAATATAAGGTTGTTCCGTTTTTTTTATTATTCAGTCAATATTCGCCGATCGAAATAATAGTTTTCAACAAAAAAAAATTTATACCTCATTGAAGATATCGACTTCCTGTGTTCAAATTTAAAAAGATATTTTACCTCCGATTATTTTTTGTAACGTTCTGGGGGTTTGAAAATTGCCAAATTGGCCATGTTCTGGACTAAATTATGCGCGCTTTGAAGAATTTATTCATATTACTGAGAGCGTAACGCGAATTATTTATGCGTGACGAATCATTCCGCACAACAAAATCGTTCCAAATTGAATTGAGGCTAGCTTATCGGATCGGTCGTATTAATTTCACACGACTCATCATTTCACACTTTGATATTGTCTAAATTTTAAGTTTTCAAAGTTTTCTTTTCCCAAAAACTATTCGATGTTAATTAAGGGACAGTCGGAACAATCAGTGCTTAGCCCTCCCTCATATAAGAGCAGTCTTGCTTTCTATGTATAATTAGATATGGCTCTCGCCAGAGATATCATCATTTTCTAGAAAGTTACTCCTAAAAATTCTCCCAATTGTAAGATAGTCAGCATGTTTTAGCACATCAAATTTTAGACTTTTTTGAACATCACTGTTGTAATACAATTCATTTTTTGCAAATAATGCATATACTTGTAGTCAGCGCTTATACTGACTTTTGCATTTTACATACATTTGCAAGATCGTTCACATAAAGCAACGGCAGTATGAGATTCAACGAAGAATTTTTTTAATTTTTCCATGAAGAACTTACTTGAAATTAGATTGACCAGATTGTGTAAAAACCACCTGAGATCTTCTAAATGAATGTGATTTTAGAAGGTCTTGTTTAATGCTAAGTCTAATTTTCAGAACGCTAAAGTTGATTGATATAACTACGGCTAGAACACCGGCTCAATTATGCTCTCAGATATATTTGATGGGCAGTCAAGCCGGTCAGCAGTTTTAATTCTCCAAAAAAAAAGCATTTACTCCAAAACCCTTTAGCTCAGCAACAAAAAGCGTTTAAGAAAACACACTGACCGAAAAAACTGAATAGCAACTTTCAACCGATTGCGATTCAGATGTTTGTGAACCATAACAGCCTTTTAAGTCTTTTCTAAATCAATAACCTTATCAAAAAATCATTCTTGTTGCAGCAATATTTTCAGTCATTATTTATACTGAACAAAAGCACCTACTTACCAGCCATTCCGGCACCTGGATGTAATCCATGGCCGATAAAAATAAGCAAAGAATGGATTCGCGGAATTGTTCTCCGGTGAATGCACAATGTCAAATTTATATGAATATTTGATCAGACTAAGACGGTTATAAGCCAAACTAATAAATGTTTGAACATAACATTTACGTGTAAAAAGTTTATAGCTGCAAAGTGTTTTTAGGGCTTAAAGTAGGTTTTGATGTAACAAAGTTGCCAAGGGTTGTTGTGTTCGATACGAAAATTGTTGATAAAGAAAAACGGAATTCAATCAAAAATGGTCAAAATAATAAAACACTTCGAAGCATATTCCCTGAATGAAAAAAAACGTGAAGAAAGGCAAATAAATTAGGTGGAAAAGGTTGCAACCATAAAGCGGAGGAGAACAGAAAACATGGTAGGACAATTTTTACACAGCCAATGCACGAAAATGATTTTACTTTTCCCCACCAATTTGTTAAATTAGAAAGAAAAAGTACGGCGAATAATATTTCACATTTATCTAATCCATTATACGCATTAGCATTTTGGGCACCATTCGCTGCATTAATAAAAGATTGGAGATTCCCATCATTTAAGAATGAGGAGCCCCTGATATTATATTTTACAGGATATAGAAGTACGTAAAAACGTCCAAAGGCACAACTCGACGACGGAACTCTTTTGCAGCAGGGAAAAAATGGGAGCAGTAAATTAAAATACAAATGCTATGTCTTTAAAACCTTCATTAGTGAAATCTCAAAGAGTGAGTGGGAAAATGTTATACTAAAACGGAAAAGAACCTCCCATTAGAAACATGAACAGGAAAACGTCAGAAAGTAATGGAATGGCGGAGCATCCGCACTCGTTTTTGTTACATTACGCCACGCGGAATTTAACAGCAAATCAACTTTATCAAAACTGCCGCCGCACTTCATGTTTAACATCGATACAGAAAGACACAAAGTCGTCTTTACTCAATTTACAAACCGCCATTTTATGCCTCAGTTCAAAGCAGGCCCACATACGTCTTTAATTCTTCGATATCTAGAAAAAGACCTAAGGAAAGTAAATTGGCCCTAGCCATCAACTGCACAAAAATCCGCTTGTCCATTAAAAGATTACATCACCGGAAAACTCAAACAGCTCCGATATCAGTTATGACGTATGTCATACATGGAGTGAGAACTGTAAGTAGAAAACTGCGTATTCATACTCGTCAGTAAGTAGACAAACACTATTTAAACCAATCGAAAAGGATATGAGACAGCAAATCTACGAAATAAGTAATTATTAATTTCATACGTTGGCTTTCTTGTTTCGATTCTAATTGGTTAAAATAGTGTTTGTCTAATTACTGACGAGTATGAAGACGCGGTTATCTACTTACTGCTACGTAACAGTCATACCCAATATTTCCATCGAATGAGGAGCAAGAGTCAAAACAAGATAGACAATATTGCACATAATTAACATCGTTTTTGTTCCGACTTTCGATACGAAAGTAACGGAATATTTGTGCTCGGGGTGGGTTTTTTTTTCTTCAGACAAATTTCGACTTCTTAACTAGCCATTATTGACGGAATTTTTTTATATCATTCAAAAGATATTGTTGTCCTGAGCTTAAAATTGAAAAGGTATTTCACCTGTGATCATTTTTCGTGAAGTTATGAGGGTTTAAAGATTGCCATTTTGACCAATTAACGCGCAATATAATTCGCGCTATTAACGCGTAAGCGGAGATTTAATCCATCATAGAAATCGTTCCAAATTGGTTGAAGGATTCCTTATTTGCCATAATTGATTTGTTACAAGGAACGAAATCTATCTTTTTGTATTTTATATGGCGTGTGGGGGGATGATTTTCATAAAAAATTTCCAATTTAAAAAAAAAAATCATTTTTTTTATTTCATTTAATTTTTTTATGTTATTACTGCTCCATAAACCTTAAAAGGCAGTCGGTACATTCAGGGCTTCACCCTGATACAAGAAGTCTTGTTTAAACCTTTGTATTCATTTCCATCGTTTCCTAATTAAGATTTTCTGTGACATAAATTACAAAAAGCTACCGAAAATTTGAAGACTTTTTTGAAGATCTCTAACAACTTAGCCCACCCGAAATCAGCCACCCGACTACTGCGGAAAAATAACTTCTGAACACTGGGCACTAGCCGCGATTAGATACTTCTATAGGCCGAGATCAAAAGCTCAATATGAAAAAAAAAACTTAACGACAATAAACCGCGCTGATATTTGAGATTTTTCTTCTAGAGTTTTAATTTTATTATTTTGATGTGTATATATCATTGACGTGGTGCATCTGTCTGGAGCTCCCAAGCCATCATAAATTTCTCAATTTTTCCATCAGCGCTCTGTAAGGATCCAGTTATCTGTTTTGAGATCCAAGGTTTTTCTATTAGATTCGTATTCCTTATGAAGAACAGCAATATTTGCGTTTCTCGTCAAATTCAGGAACCATATTAAGATTTAATTCAACAACAACACAAATGACCTCATCAAAGTCAACGGAAACCTTCTCTCACTAATCAACGAAGATTTATACCATTTTCTTACATTTTGAAATTTCAAAAAATGATAAGAAATTTAATGAACGCTTATAGTGCAAATTAATCTGGAAAAGGAGCACTAACATATGGACAACCAAGAAAACTGATGAAAAAGTCCATAAAAAACTGATTGAAAAAACCATTGCTAACAATTACAGAACTCTATATGAAAATAAATTGACACAAAGACGGGGCGGAGCATCGCACAACTTGCGATACTAAAAAACATAGCCTGTAAGCTAGCAGACAAACAAGGAAATCGAAGCCAATAAATGGCAAAGCGAAGCATCGCACAATAACAGCACTTGAACATGAAACTAAATTGACAAAGAGTCTTCTTGCAACTACAATGAAGAACACTTGCAACTACAATTAGAAGTGCTTACAGTACAAGCAAAATGCGTGAAATGGCAACTTAGTCGACAAAACTTGAGCAGACAAGAGAAAATCCGAATAATTCATTTTTAACGGAAAAAATATTCAGAAAACTACATTGATCATTGTAGAAATACCTAGGATCACTTTCATGCTATTGTTCATCATCAGCATCTTGAAACAAGGATAGCCGGTTACTGTGCAAGTAGCACAGAATGTTCCGACCACAGTCTTAAAAAATGTTAAGAAAATGTTTTCTCAAATTGGTGTCATTTTTTTCTGCACGAAACTGAACGAAATAAAAGAACTTAGGCATATTTGAAAATCATAGTAAAAAAGTCAATTGTAAAAAAGTTTTTGAAAAATAATGACTAGAAAAACAAAAAAAAAGAACTGAAAAAAAAATTCGAAAATTTTCCAAAACTTTTTTGCGAAATTTTTTTGAACTTGATTCCAAAATTGCGCTAAAAAACTACCTTTCATTGAAAAAAACGAATCAAAAAACACACGGAAAAATAAAAATCGCAAGATTTGAAGCTAGAACATACTCCTTCACAGGCTCATCGATTTCTTCTAGAACCATTGTGCTTGAGAAGATAAGAATCTTGAAGTTATATAATCTACGCTATCATTTTGAAAAATGAGAAACATGTCTAAAAACGCTTTAAAAATGAGAAACATGTCTAAAAATGCTTTAAAACTTTTTGGCCAATCAAATTTAAACAACTGTAAATAAGGCCGCTAAGCCCATACAGTTCCTGGCAAGATTTGAAGCTAGAACATACTCCTTCACAGGCTCATCGGTTTCTTCTAGAAGCATTGTGCTTGAGAAGATAAGAATCTTGAAGCTATATAATCTACGCTATCAAATGACTCAATTGAAGTTGTTAATCAGGATGTTAATAAGAAAAACGTATATATCGCGATTTGATAACGCCTGCTAATTGCAAACGTAATTAATTCAAGCGAATTTTGAAAGCAGCGATTTGTTGAACCGATTCTTAGCATTGTTCAATGAAAATGAAACGACTTTTGAATTGGTGCAATGAAATAGACAAAACAAGATTCCGGATCAACCGTACAATTCCCCACCCCCTTTCTAATCAATTTATGGGGAGAAAATGTGGATTTCTGATTGCAAAAACCATTGCTAACCATTACAGAACTGTATATGAAAATAAATTGACACAAAGACGGGGCGGAGCATCGCACAACTTGCGATACTAAAATACATAGCCTGTAAGCTAGCAGACAAACAAGGAAATCGAAGCCAATAAATGGCAAAGCGAAGCAACGCACAATAACAGCACTTGAACATGAAACTAAATTGACAAAGAGTCTCCCTGCAACTACAATGAAGAACACATTCAACTACAATTAGAAGTGCTTACAGTACAAGCAAAATGCGTGAAATGGCAACTTAGTCGACAAAACTTGAGCAGACAAGAGAAAATCCGAAAAAATTCATTTTTAACGGAAAAAATATTCAGAAAACAACATTGATCAATGTAGAAATACCTAGGATCACTTTCATGCTATTGTTCATCATCAGCATCTTGAAACAAGGATAGCCGGTTACTGTGCAAGTAGCACAGAATGTTCCGACCACAGTCTTAAAAAAATGTTAAAAATGTTTTCTCAAATTGGTGTCATTTTTTTCTGCACGAAACTGAACGAAATAATAGAACTTAGGCATATTTGAAAATCATAGTTAAAAAGTCAATTGTAAAAAAGTTTTTGAAAAATAATGACTAGAAAAACGAAAAAAAGAATTGAAAAAAATTCGAAAATTTTCCAAACTTTTTTGCGAAATTTTTTTGAACTTGATTCCCAAAATTGCGCCAAAAAACTCCAAAAACTACCTTTCATTGAATAAAACGAATCAAAAACTAAATCGAAAAATAAAAATCGCAAGATTTGAAGCTAGAACATACTCCTTCACAGGCTCATCGATTTCTTCTAGAACCATTGTGCTTGAGAAGATAAGAATCTTGAAGTTATATAATCTACGCTATCATTTTGAAAAATGAGAAACATGTCTAAAAACGCTTTAAAAATGAGAAACATGTCTAAAAATGCTTTAAAACTTTTTGGCCAATCAAATTTAAACAACTGTAAATAAGGCCGCTAAGCCCATACAGAAACAAAACTTCTCGTATCAAGGCGGAGCACTGAGCGTTTCGACTAATTTTTAAACTCGATGGAGGAGTATTCGCTTCAGAAAAATTGGTGACGATTTCTTCAAAACTAGAAAAATTTGTTGATTATCACTCATACGCTATTTAAAACACAATTTTATAATTTAATGTAGCAAAATTTTAAATGCTTTAAAACTTTTTGGCCAATCAAATTTAAACAAGCAGCACGGTTTTACGGTTAATCCAAAATTTCTTCTTATTTTATTTGCAATCATTGGGCAGATTTTTAGTTTTGTTAAAGATCCCTGTGCCGCACGAACGGTATCAAAATCCGATAAACGTGGAAAGTTACATATAATTCATTTAGTAAAAGTCTCCGCTTGAAAAAGATTGATTTCACTTTTTTCTGACTCTCAATAACATAAATCATCTGCGTCGCGGCTTCAATCTATTTTGAACTTTTTTTATTATGTCTTATCCATATGTTGAAAAATTAGAGATTTTTTGTTCTTCAATTAGGCCTCTGTAAGCATCCCGCCACCATTTTAAAGATCTCAGCTCTATCAATTACATTCATAATCCAAACAAAAACAGCTCAAAATTTCTTTTGTCGAAAAGTTATGTATTTTTATTTAAAAAACTAGTCTACAAGGAAACAATCCAAGAAGAACGAAACTGAATACGATAAAATTGTTATGGTCACTTCAAAATAGATCTTTGAATTAAA